AGATAAGCAATTTGATTGGTTGATATACATGAGACACAATAACTTTAGTTCTAATTAAGTGAGGGTGAGGACACTTGGTGTATAGCTTTATTACATCAATACCTTGACTAAGTTGGACTATGAATATTTTCTGCTCAGCGTCAACAGAGCGATAAGCAATTTGATTGGTTGAAACTCTCCTTCTAATTGAGTAGAATGTTTAAACTTGGTGTAGGCGTTCATTAGTTGAATGCCTTGATGCTTTGAGGCACGATAACTTTGGTTATAATGAAGTGAGAGAGATGGAACTCCAAATATAGATTCATTATATCATTACATTGTACCTTGACTAATTTCGATGGTGAGAATTTTCTGCTTAGGCTAATGAGCGATAAGCAATTTGATTGGTCAAGACTTTGGAACATAACAACTCTGCTTTTAATTGAGATAAAATGTTTAGACTTGATGTAGATGTTCATTAGGTGAATTTCTTGACTGAGTTCAATGATTAACATTTCGAGCTGAAACTAACCAGAGCTAATAAATTTCATTGGTCAATGCTTTTGGACAAGATAATCTTGATTCTATCTGATAGAGATTGATGAAACTTAGTGTATAGTTTGATTGCTTGATACTTTTGAAAAAAAAATAAATGTGTGATTAATTAATGTGTGTCATCTATTTATTTTGGGATTTCGGCGGGGGACATCAGCCTCACTGTTGGCTTGTTTTTATACACCCACATTTTCGTGTGGACGTATATTGCTGTCGCACCTGTCAGTCCGTCCACAATTGTTTGTGGACACTCTACAGGTCACAATTCTTATCCGATGATGACTAAACTTGAAATATGGGTATATCTTCAAAAGATCTCGGTTGCTTTCGATATTGGCATGTATCGGACCTAAACTACATGGATTATGGCCCCTATAGAGGTCACAATTTTTATCCGACTTTGTTTAAACTTGAAATATAAGTTTATAACCCAATGATCTTGGATCCTTTCAATATTCGCGCATATTGGATCGTAACTTCCTGAATTATGGCCCCTGATTGTACGAAAAAATTGGGTTTTTAGCTTGTGGACCCTATAGAGGTCATAATTTTTATCCAATTTCAAAAACTGTTTAAATATATTGCAGTTACACCCTAAGGATGGTTGAATTCAAATTTCGTAAAAATCGGACCAAAACTGTCAGACAAAATGGCCGCCCATTGTTATCGAATAGCGTAAAAATAAGGTATATGAATGTTGTGGACTCTCTAGAGGTCACAATTTTCTTCTGATTTTGATGAAACTTGAAATGTAAGTTTATAACCCAAAGATCTTGGTTCCTTTCAATATTCACGCATATCGGATCGTATCCTTCTGAATTATGGACCCTGATTGTACGAAAAATCACGTTTTTAGCTTGAGGTCCCTCTAGAGTTTACAATTATTATCCGATGTAAAAAAACATTCTAATATATCATCGTTACACCGTAATTTTGTGAAAATTGGACCAAAACTGCCAGTCAATATGGCTGCCCCTCCTACACAATTAGTGTAAACATATGATCTGGTATATCCAAGTTGTGGACCCTCTAGAGGTCACAATTTTGAAGTGAATGTTTATAACCCAAAGGTCTTGGTTCCTTTCGATATCGGATCATAACTTCCTGAATTATGGCCCCTGATTGTAAAAAAAACGTTTAAATATATCACCCAGAGGTCGCAGTGGATCAATTTCGAGTTGCGTAAAAATACGCAGACATTCTAAAATTTTGCGTTTTTTATTTATACGCCCACATTTTCATGCGGACGTATTATGCTGTCGCCCCTGTCCGTCGGGACGTCCGTCTGTCTGTCCGTCCATCCGTCCACAATTGTTTGTGGACTCTCTACAGGTCACAATTCTTATCCGATTTTGACGAAACTTGAAATATAGGTTTGTCCCCAAAAGATCTTGGCTGCTTTCGATATTGGCATGTATCGGATCGAAAATTCATGGAGTATGGCCCCTGATTGTACGAAAAATCACGTTTTTAGCTTGTGGACCCTATAGAGGTCACAATTTTTATCCGATCTTGTTGAAACTTTAAATGTAAATTTATAACCCAAAGATCTCGGTTCTTTTCGATATTCGTGCATATTGGACTGTAACTTCCTGAATTATGGCCCATGATTGTACGAAAAATTGCGTTTTTAGCTTGTGAACACTATAGAAGTCATATTGTTTATCCGATTTAAAAAATCGTATTATTATATCACCGTTACACCTTAAGGACGGCTGAGTTCGAATTTCGTGAAAATCGGCTCAAAACTGACAGACAAAATGGATGCCCTTCGTTCTCAAATAGCGTAAAAATATGGTATATCAAGGTTGTGGACCCTATAGAGGTCACAATTTTTATCCGATTTTGTTGAAACTTGAAATGTAAGTTTATAACCTAAAGATCTCCGATCCTTTCGATATTGGCGTATTTCGGACAGTAACTTTCTGAATTATGGCCCCTGATTGTACGAGAATCACGTTTTTAGCTTGTTACACCTTAAGGACGGCTGAGTTCGAATTTCGTGAAAATCGGCTCAAAACTGACAGACAAAATGGATGCCCTTCGTTCTCAAATAGCGTAAAAATATGGTATATCAAGGTTGTGGACCCTATAGAGGTCACAATTTTTATCCGATTTTGTTGAAACTTGAAATGTAAGTTTATAACCTAAAGATCTCCGATCCTTTCGATATTCGCGTATTTCGGACAGTAACTTTCTGAATTATGGCCCCTGATTGTACGAGAATCACGTTTTTAGCTTGTGGACCCTATAGAGGTCATAATTTTTATCCAATTTCAAAAACTGTTTAAGACTGGTTGAATTCAAATTTCGTAAAAATCGGACCAAAACTGACAGACAAAATGGCCGCCCATTGTTATCGAATAGCGTAAAAATAAGGTATATGAATGTTGTGGACTCTCTAGAGGTCACAATTTTCTTCTGATTTTGATGAAACTTGAAATGTAAGTTTATAACCCAAAGATACCGGTTCCTGTAGATATTCGTGCACATTGGACTATAACTTCCTGAATTATGGCCCCTAATTGTACGAAAAATCGCGTTTTTAGGATGTGATCCCTCAAGATGTCACAATTTTTATCCGATTTAAAAAAACGTTTGAATTTATCACTGTTAAACCCTTATGATGGTTGAGTCCGAATTTCGCACAAATCAGACCAAAACTGTCGGACAAAATGGCTGCCCCTCATCCGCAAATATTGTAAATATGGTATATCAAGGTTTTGGACCCTCTAGAGAGAGGACACAATTTTGATCCGATTTTGATGTAACTTGAAATACATGTTTATAACCTAAAGATGTTGGTTCCTTTCAATATTCATGCATATCGGATTGTAACTTCCTGAATTATGGCCCTTGATTGTACGAAAAATCACTTCTTTTTTTGAGCTTGTTCTCTGTCCATCTCTTGCAAAATGTGGGCGTATCTTGCATGGCAACCGCTTGTATATTGCAGTCGCCCCTGTCCGTCGGTCGGTTCGTCCGTCCATCGTCCACAATTTCTTGTGAACGCTCTAATGCCAAAAGTTATCATCCAATTGTTTTAAAATTGATATGTGTTGTTTACATTAGTGAGATGAAGAAGCCTATTTAATTTCCGTTTATTACGTCTAGAGTTATGGCCCTTTTTCACTTTGTTGAACCTTGTGAATGCTCTAATGCCAAAAGTTAATATACGATCTTTGTGAATAACCCAAAGATCTCGGTTCCTGTAGATATTCGTGCACATTGGACTATAACTTCCTGAATTATGGCCCCTAATTGTACGAAAAATCGCGTTTTTAGGATGTGATCCCTCAAGATGTCAAAATTTTTATCCGATTTAAAAAAACGTTTGAATTTATCACTGTTAAACCCTTATGATGGTTGAGTCCGAATTTCGCACAAATCAGACCAAAACTGTCGGACAAAATGGCTGCCCCTCATCCGCAAATATTGTAAATATGGTATATCAAGGTTTTGGACCCTCTAGAGAGAGGACACAATTTTGATCCGATTTTGATGTAACTTGAAAAACATGTTTATAACCCAAAGATGTTGGTTCCTTTCAATATTCATGCATATCGGATTGTAACTTCCTGAATTATGGCCCTTGATTGTACGAAAAATCACTTCTTTTTTTGAGCTTGTTCTCTGTCCATCTCTTGCAAAATGTGGGCGTATCTTGCATGGCAACCGCTTGTATATTGCAGTCGCCCCTGTCCGTCGGTCGGTTCGTCCGTCCATCGTCCACAATTTCTTGTGAACGCTCTAATGCCAAAAGTTATCATCCAATTGTTTTAAAATTGATATGTGTTGTTTACATTAGTGAGATGAAGAAGCCTATTTAATTTCCGTTTATTACGTCTAGAGTTATGGCCCTTTTTCACTTTGTTGAACCTTGTGAATGCTCTAATGCCAAAAGTTAATATACGATCTTTGTGAAATTTATATGCATTATTTAGATTAGTGAAATGGAGAAGCCTATTGAATTTTAGCAATTTCCGTTTATTACATCTAGAGTTATGGCCCTTGTTTCACTTTATTGATCCTTATGAATGCTCTAACGCAAAAAGTTAACACCCGATCTTTGAGATTTTTATATGCATGATTTAAATTAGTGAAACGAAAATGGCTATTGAATTTCAGCAATTTACAATAATTACTTCTAGAGTTATTGCCCTTGTTTCACTTTGTTAAACCTTGTTAATGATGAAATGTGATGTTTCATCACCGGACCGGCCTACACATTTGCAGGGGCCGCGTTAATGCTGTAGCCTACCTTGATGATGGCCCGTGGAGGACACACGCGCTACTGACATCTGTCGTTATAACATTTGTATATTACAGCAAACTAATGATGTTATAACTTTTATATATTACATGAGACTAATGATGTTATAACTTTTATATATATCAGTTAACTGATAATGTTATAACTTTTATATTACAGGAAACTAATGAGGTTATAACTTTTTATATTACAGGCAACTAATGATGTACTTGTAGGAGAACTCAAAGAAGATAAGTCTGTTTCAGAATATAGTGAAAAAGGGGGGACAAATTTGATCCAGAACAGTGGAGGAAACCTGTATAGATGTGATATTTGTAGTAAATCATTCACCACCAGTAGTAGTCTACAGAAACATATCAGAATTCACACTAGTGAGAAACCTTATAGATGTGGTGTTTGTAGTAAATCATTCACCACCAGTGGTAGTCTACAGAAACATATCAGAATTCACACTAGTGAGAAACGTTATAAATGTAATGTTTGTAGTAAATCATTCACCACCATTAGTAGTCTACAGAAACATATCAGAATTCACACTAGTGAGAAACCTTATAAATGTAATGTTTGTTGGAAATCATTTTCTACGAGTAGTACTCTACAGACACACATTAGAATTCATACTGGTGAAAAACCCTATAGATGTGATGTTTGTAGTAAGTCATTCACCACCATTAGTAGTCTACAGAGACACAAGAGAATTCGTACAAGAGATAAACCATATAAATGTGATGTTTGTTGTAAATTAGTTAGATTGAAAAGTTATCTAAAAGTGCACATGCGAACTCATACTAAAGAAAAACACTACAACTGTAGTGTTTGTAGTAAATCATTCACCACCATTAGTAGTCTACAGAAACATAGCAGAATTCACACTAGTGACAAACCTTATAAATGTGATGTTTGTAGTAAATCATTTTCTACGAGTAGTAGTCTACAGACACACATAAGAATTCATACTGGTGAAAAACCCTATAAATGTAATGTTTGTAGTAAGTCATTCACCACCATTAGTAGTCTACAGAGACACAAGAGAATTCGTACAAGAGATAAACCATATAAATGTGATGTTTGTTGTAAATTATTTAGATTGAAAAGTTATCTAAAAGTGCACATGCGAACTCATACTAAAGAAAAACACTACAACTGTAGTGTTTGTAGTAAATCATTCACCACCATTAGTAGTCTACAGAAACATAGCAGAATTCACACTAGTGACAAACCTTATAAATGTGATGTTTGTAGTAAATCATTTTCTACGAGTAGTAGTCTACAGACACACATTAGAATTCATACTGGTGAAAGACCTTATATATGTGATGTTTGTAGTAAGTCATTCACCACCATTAGTGGTCTACAGAGACACAAGAGAATTCGTACAAGAGATAAACCATATAAATGTGATGTTTGTTGTAAATTATTTAGATTGAAACGTTATCTAAAAGTGCACATGCGAACTCATACTAAACTGTAGTGTTTGTAGTAAATCGTTCAGTAAAAACAGTGCCCTATTAAAACATATTAAGAGTCATACAGTAGAAAAACTAGTGTGATGTTTGTGGTAAGTCATTTACACGGCATGGAACCCCTACAGACATCTAGTGTGATGTTTGTAGTAAGTCATTCACCCAGTCTGGAACCCAAGTGTGATGTTTGTAGTAAGCCATTCACCCAGTTTAGAACCCTAGTGTGATGTTTGTAGTAAGTCATTCACCCAGTTTAGAACCCAAGTATGATGTTTGCAGTAAGTCATTCACTCAGTTTAGAACCCAAGTGTGATGTTTGTAGTAAGCCATTCACCCAGTTTAGAACCCTAGTGTGATGTTTAAGTGATAGTCTACACACATAAGAATTAAAATTTGAGAGAAACCTTATAAATGTGATGTTTTTGGTAAATCAGTCAGTCACAGCTGTTTGCTACAGCAACACCAGATATTATAGCAGGGATTGGATGGCTGAATAGTTAGCATGAGCGCGTTGTATCATAAGGTCTTTATTGAGTCAACTGGCGTGGTTTCGATTCCCAGTTGGTCACTGGTACATGGTAGTGTGATGTTTGTAGTAAGTCATTCACTCAGTTTAAAACCCTAGTGTGATGTTTGTAGTAAGTCATTCACCCAGTTTAGAACCCTATTGTGATGTTTGTAGTAAGTCATTCACCCAGTTTAGAACTCAAGTGTGATGTTTGTAGTAAGCCATTCACCCAGTTTAGAACCCTAGTGTGATGTTTGTAGTAAGTCATTCACCCAGTTTAGAACCTAGTGTGATGTTTGTAGTAAGTCATTCACCCAGTTTAGAACCCTAGTGTGATGTTTGTAGTAAGTCATTCACCCAGTTTAGAACCCTAGTGTGATGTTTGTAGTAAGTCATTCACCCAGTTTAGAACCCTAGTGTGATGTTTGTAGTAAGTCATTCACTCAGTTTAAAACCCTAGTGTGATGTTTGTAGTAAGTCATTCACCCAGTTTAGAACCCTAGTGTGATGTTTAAGTGATAGTCTACACACATAAGAATTAAAATTTGAGAGAAACCTTATAAATGTGATGTTTGTGGTAAATCAGTCAGTCACAGCTGTTTGCTACAGCAACACCAGATATTATAGCAGGGATTGGATGGCTGAATAGTTAGCACGAGCGCGTTGTATCATAAGGTCTTTATTGAGTCAACTGGCGTGGTTTCGATTCCCAGTTGGTCACTGGTACATGACAAGGGGTAGTATAGCTTGTCCAACCTCGTGGGTTTTCTCCAGGTCCTCCGGTTTCCTCCCACTGCTAAAGACCCTACTTTCTGATATAACAACTCTTACTCTCACAACTCTTTGTATCATCCTTATTGTGGGGGCTGTGGAGGGCGTCTCATAATTGTAATATGTATGTAATAATAGTTGTACAGTTATGTATCCACCTGTATTTTGATATATATATATATATGTTTATAGTTATGTATGTATGTACTGTACCTTTGTTTTATGGTCGCCTGTCCAACCTTGTGATTTTTCTCCGGGTCCTCTGGTTTCCTCCTACTACTAAAGACCCCTACGTTCAAGCGAATTATGGAAATAAAATTGAACCATATGTTAGTCCCAAAATGACCTAGTTTGTGTCAAGTGGACGTTAAACCCCATTTCTCTGTCTACTCAGTTTTTAGTATATCTATATTGTAAATGATCCAATTACTTACAAAACAATAAATATGTGACAGCCTCTGTGGAGTTTCTGTTTGGATGACTTTGCGGCTGTGGCCTTATGTTTTGTTTCCTGGCAACCTATCTTTGTAATAAATGTTAATTACTGCACCATGTATAAACCAAAATGCACCATTAAATTTCTTGTAAAAAACCCAGTTATTATCAAGATATTTGTATATGCATGTTTACAGTTGTACATGTATGAATTTTAATTATTGTTTAAATAAATGTTCTGTCACAGTTAATATGTTATTAAAATTTTAGATTTTCCTGGATGTGGTGTGGTTAATTCTTCCAGTAGAGCTGCTGATATCAAACAGTGATTAAGCCCCGCCTCCAATAAAGCTGCTGATATTTAGCAATGGTTAAGCCCCGCCTCCAATAAAACTGCTGATTTCAAGCAGTGATTATAATTTTTGTTTAAATAAATGTTCTGTCACAGCTAATATGCTATTAAAATTTTATATTGTCCTTGACATGGTGTGGTTAATTCTTCCGATAAAGATTCTGATATCAAGCAGTGATTAAGCTCCGCCTCCAATAAAGCTGCTGATATCAAGCAGTGATTAAGCCCCGCCTCCAATAAAGCTGCTGATATCAAGCAGTGATTAAGCCCCGCCTCCCCTCCTGTACTTAAACTTCCTTCCCCTGTTTGTCTCAAGTCCACGAGTCAACGTTTGCCCAACAAAGTAAACATGAAAATCTTATTGTATCACACTGAATATTAGTTCTATACCTATATATGTATTGTAAAATGACTTTTACTTTTGAGGAAATCTCCCTGTTGAGTCATATATCAATCAGAATTCTGGATAGAGTTATGTCCCTTCCAGACTTCACCCAAACAAGACCGGATTTTGACACAGACTATAGTTTTAAACTACTTTAAAGAGCACATCAAATGAGCAAACAAAATTATGTATATCCAGTGGCCACTACATACATTTTATTGCAAGTTTACACCAATCGGATTAAAATTATTCAACATATTACCATTTTAAGTGTCAGACACCAGAAACCACTTTCAATACTTCAGATACAGCCTTAAACCGTTTGATTGGCTCGTCATCAGTTCTGTTCAGTATGTAAGGGTGGGCCATAGTGCCGCTGTCCGGGCAAAATTTCTATCATAGCATGCTGTATGGCGTATATATGGCAGGAAATGATTCCTTTTGGCGAACAAAGAATAATTATGGCGAAAAAAGAAGGCATGAGTCCAATATGATTCGGCAATCAGAGAATCAACACTATAGAATCTCTTTCACTGTGGACGAAAATGAAATTGTACTTTTTGTGGGTTATTCGGGTTTTATTGGTCCGCGTCGTTTTATGATATACAACTGATTATAAAATGTTGAACCGGAAACGGAAGACAGTGTCGTGACTTCCGCTCTCTGTTCTGAAGCGGCCATTTTGTGTGTTTTTCAAAGGGCATCCGTTTTCAAAGACCCGCCTTCACGTAAAGATAAGAATGGTGAGTTGGTTTTGGTATAAAGAATGGAATAGATACAATTTAAGAATATGTAACAGACATTATATATGTATTTTCTAATATATATATTTTTAAACCTATGCTATTCTGGTATCCGTTCCAAAAATCGTGTTGTTTTCTACTTTCATTTTCATGTTTAGATTTCTCTGCACATGGAGCAGGTAGAGTAAAAATTCGGAAAGAAGGCGAAAAGCTAGCCTTTTATTTACGAAAATAACTTCATTTGAAGCCGCAGTTTTGTTCCAATCAACAATAGGACGAGCAAGAAAAGCTGATACGCAAATCATACTGGCGTAGCTGAAGCGTGACTCGCGACGACAATATTACGTCACCGCTTCACTGGCGTACCTAGTTAAAGCTACAATTTCATATTTTTAAGTTATATTTTTAAAATGTATTAAAATAAAGCCCTAAAATAGATGGTATCCAAAAACAGTCCTACCTTGTTAAAGAATAATCCTATTAATCCTATAATTCACTATTGCCAGCTGAGAAATTGGCAAAAATATCATTTTCAACTTCAAATTCAAACGTTTGAACATAGCTATTCCATGGAGGTAATAGGAAAACAAGGGAGGTAATTGTGTTATTATTTCCTGTGTCAATGATTTTTAAGGATGGGAAATAATGCCCATGATCGTATAATAGGGAGTTGGTTGATAACCTATTGAGCAAAAGACATAGATATAATTATGTTTTGACTTTCTTAGAAAATATGAATCTTGTTTTTCTAAATTGATTTTAATTTAGATCTAAATTGTATCTTGTTTTTCTAAATTGATTTTAATTTAGATCTAAATTGTATGATTAACTTTGTTTAAAAAAAACCCCATAAAATTGCGAGAATTATTCTTGTAGACGTCAGGAATATGTGACGTCATTGATAAAACGCGTCAATAAAAATATTTCCATGAGACGCATAATCTCGCTTTCGCGAGATTTGGTAAGTTAGCATGCGCATTGCCATCTTTCCTAGTGTATCTGTTTCCGGTCTGAATTTTTTTTTAAATCAACGGTCTGTGGTGACAGTTTTAGTTACGCTCCTGTGTTACCGGAAAAGAGCTTTGTTCTATAATATTCTCATAAATAAAAAATGTTACGGTCTTGGCCAAGTTAAAGTGTTGTCGTCGTGTATAAACACGGCCCCTTTTTTTAAACTAGTTCTCTGTCCATCTATTAGGGGTTTCAGGTCAAAGTTTTTTAATGATGTTATATCTTTTATATTTTACAGGAAACTGATGATGTTGTAACTTTTATATATTACAGGAAACTAATAATGTTAAAACTTTTATATATTACAGGAAACTAATAATGTTATAATTTTTATACGTTACAGGAAACTAATGATGTTATAACTTTTATATATTACAGGAAACTAATGATGTTATAACTTTTATATATTGCAGGATACTAATGATGTTATAACTTTTATATGTTACAGGAAACTAATGATGTTATAAGTTTTATATATTACAGGAAACTAATGTTGTTATAACATTTATATATTGCAGGCAACTAACGTTATAACTTTAAACTTTTATGTTACAGGCAACTAATGATGTTATGACTTTTATATATTAGGCTGACCTTAAAAATATCTTTGTTTCCCCTAACGTGACTGACTAACTAAAACCACCCCCGACTTAAATTATGTTATTGCACTTTTCCACAATCTTTTTATTTTATTTTGTGTGTCAACAAAAATATCACAAGAGTTATTTCCCTTTACTATGGCTATGGTTGGATTCATTATTGAAACTGGTTGATCAAGACGAAAGCGTCATCGGTGTCACTTCTCAACAAAATGGTTGCAGACGAAAGCACGTCCATTCCCACGAAATGATTCTGCCTCTATGTCTGTGGGGCGTCATTTTAAACATGACGACAATATTTTTAATATCTGTTTACGAGAAAAATGAAGGCACAATCCGCACGATCGTTAAAAACGTATTGAAGGAGTTTCACACTTCAAGTTCATGGCAAATCGTGTGCGAGTCGTGCATCACGAAAAATCCTGATGTCATTGATTTGTTTGCCAATAAAGAAGACGAATGTTTCCACCCGGAAAATTATCAAGCTGTCAAATTAGCTCTTAAGTTTAATAAAAACTAAAAAAAATCTGAAAAAAACCCCGACCTACCGACCCTTCTCCTCGATTGTGGGTCGGGTTTGGTGAAACAAAGATATTTTTAAGGTCAGCCTTACAGGAAACTAATGTATATGATGTTATAACTTTTATATATTGCAGGAAGCTAATGATATTTTAACTTTTATATATTACAGGAAACTAATGATGTTATAACATTTCATCAATGTGTTGTATGTGATGACATTTTTCAACAACTTGATGATTTAGAAAAACACAATAAAATACATGTTAAAGAAGAGAAAACTGATGATGTTGATGGATATTGTCATGTTAAAGAAGAGAAAACTGATGATGTAGATGAATATTGTCATGTTAAAGAAGAGAAAACTGACGATGACAATGTTGAAAACGGTTTAGAAGCAGATGAGTTGGTTTCATTTAACGAAAGCCAGTCATTTAAGAAACACATGAGAACTCATATAGGGGGAAAACCTTATAAATGTGATGTTTGTAGTAAATCATTTTCAAAGAGTAGTAATCTAGTGACACATATGAGAATTCATACAAGTGGAAAACCTTATAAATGTAATTTTTGTGGTAAATCATTTAGTGTGAATTGTACTTTAAAACTACACTTGAGGATTCATACAGGGGAAAAAACTCAAAAATGTGATGTTTGTAGTAAATCATTTGCTAATAGAAGTCATCTACAGAGACACATGAGAATTCATACAGGTGCAAAACCTTATATGTGTGATGTTTGTAGTAAATCATTCACTATTAATGGTAACTTACAGAGGCATATGAGAACTCATACGGGGGGAAAACCTTTTGAGTGTGGTTTTTGTGGTAAATCGTTCAGTGTGAATGGTAATTTACAGAGACACATGAGAATTCATACAGGGGGAAAACCTTATAAATGTGATGTTTGTAGTAAATCATTTGGCGAAAATCATCATTTACTTGCACACATTACGACCCATAGTGGAGGAACACCTTATAAATGTGATGTTAGTAGTAAATCATTTATTAATGATGGTGGCCTACAAAACCACAAAAGAATTCATACTGAAGAAACACCTTATAAATGTGATGTTTGTGGTAAATCATTTAGTCAAATTAGTCATTTACAGTTTCACGTTAGAACTCATTCTGGTGTAAAACCTTATAAATGTGATGTTTGTGGTAAATCATTTAGTCAAATTAGTCATTTACAGTTTCACGTTAGAACTCATTCTGGTGTAAAACCGTATAAATGTGATGTTTGTAGTAAATCATTTACCAGGAATGGTTGTTTGCAAAGACACATGAGAATTCATACAGGTGAAAAACCCTATAAATGTAATGTTTGTAGTAAATCATTTGGTCGAGCTCATCATTTACAGGATCACATAAAAACTCATACTCAGGCCTGGAAATATCAATGTAATGCTTGTGGTAAACCGTTTAGTGTGAATTGTAATTTAAAGAGACACATGAGAATTCATACAGGGGAAATATCTTATAAATGTTATGTTTGTAATAAATCATTTGGTCAAACTCATCATTTACAGGTACACATAAGAACTCATACTTAGGCCTGGAAATAACGGTTTTAGATGTACAAGTACCTGATAAAATGTCAGTCACTAATAAAAGATCACCTGACATTTTTAACTTAATATTATTAATATCAATAAAAAAAAAGACAAATCAGTGCCGGACAAAATGACAGACACCAGAGGTTTAGTGACGGACAAAACCTGAATCTGTGCCTGATATTGTCTATAACAGGTGCCTTATTTGCAGGCTTGCTCATACTGGATAGAAAACCCTATAAATGATGTGATATTTTTTAGTAAATCATTTTATAAAAGTAATTGTCTACATGGTAATCTGTACTGGAGAAAAATTTTATAAAAGTGATGTTTGTGATAAATCATCTCATCAAAATATGGAATACATAAAAACTTACACTTGTGAAAAACCTTATTCATTTGTTTTTTGGGGGCTTGTGTTACAGATTGAATTATTTCTTAATACAAAATTTATGGAAATACCTTGTTGAATATTGTTGGTCTACCCCTTTGAAATGAAATGGGGTTTAACGTCCTATTGTTCCTATAATAAACTGCCAGTTGATTTAATCATTTAAAACATCCAAAGAGAGAGAGAGAAAAATGGGGTTTAACGTCCACTCGACACAAACTAGGTCATTTTGGGACTAACACATGGTTCAATTGTATTTCAATAATTCGCTTGTGCGTAGGGGTCTTTTAGCGGTGGGAGGAAACTGGAGGACCCGGAGAAAAACCACGAGGTTGGACAGGCAACCCTACTCCTTGTCACGTAGAACCGGGGAATCAAAACCAGCCTTGTATCTTTGTTGTATTATTTTCAATCAAACAGCTTCACATAAAGATACATTGCTATAAGTTATGGTGAGTATATTTGGATATAAATTTTATAAAAGCAATATTCGGAACAGTCTCTTGTCTTTCCAGCAATATAAATACAAATAACGCTCTAACCCTATCACTGGTCTACACCTACTGTCTGTTCCAGGTAACACTCTAACCCTGTCACTGGTCTACACCTAGGTTGGAGTCCTTGTCTTTAAATCACAAAATACGAAGTGGAAATAGTTTTGGATTATTTAATCTGTAATCAACGGTACAAAGCCAGAGGGGTCAAAACCAAAAGTATGACACAGATGTCAGTAGCGTGTGTGTCCTCCACGGGCTCTTACGCACGCTGTGCAGCAATGTCGCATGGAATTTACCAATGTTTGAAAGAAGGCCTGGGGCATATTGTTCCATTCTTGGACAAGAGCAGCTTCTAAAGCAGCAATGGTGTGCATCTGTGGTTTCCGATACAGACGGCGTCCAATCTCATCCCAGACATGTTCTATCGGTGCCATGTCCGGAGACATGGCTGGCCAGTCCAAGACATTGATGTTGTTAGCAGCCAGGTAGTCCATACTAAAACGGGCGGTATGCGGACGTGCATTATCCTGTTGGAAGTGCTGAAGTTGTGGGTGCGCTCGAAACATCGGAACAACAATTGGTTGCAAGACATCATCACGGTAGGCTACAGCATTAACGCGACCCCTGCAAATGTGTAGGGCGGTCCGGTGATGAAATGTGAAGCCTCCCCACACCATTACACTTCCCCCACCCCATCGATTCGTATCGAAGACGCAGCAGTCTGCAAAACGTTCCCCAAGACGTCTCCACACACGTTGACGGCCATCAGCGTGATAAAGATGAAAGCGACTCTCATCACTGAAGAGCACACTTTGCCAGTCTACTCTTCTCCATGTCTGGTGTCCTTGAGCCCATATAAAACGCCACTGACGGTGATGATCCCTGAGGATAGCTCCAACATAAGGTCGTCGTGCACGGAGTCCTACTTCTCTTAGACGACGTCTTACGGTGTTGGCACTTACTGGTCCTTGTCTTCCGACGACTGCTGCACCTGTTCATGGCACTGGGCGGAATCTGACACGCAGATGAGTGACCCGGATGTAGCGGTCTTGAGCCTGGGTTGTAACGCATTGTGGACCAGGACATTGACGGTCACGTGTTGATCCAGTAACTCGAACACGTTCCACCAACCTTACAATAGTGGACTGATGACAATTGAAGTGTCTGGCAATAGCACGTGTAGACATGCCAGCCCAGGACATTCCCCTAAGCCGGGAGATTTTCTATTAAATAATCAACCAGAGTGGATTAATCTGTGAGGATTTTCATATTCTCCGACAAATTACAAAACTAGCATCGTTACATTAATTGTGAATAATTCGTGTTGGGTAAATCCAAGTCCCTTTTCAATATACAACCATCATTCAGTACTTCCGGAAAGGAAGGGAAAACTTCTAACAAAGGAACGATAGACTATTGTTTAATCCGACGTTCTCTAGACTCGCAAGTTCAGAACCAAATCAGACAATTTTTATCTTGTTTTTTTTTCTTTTTTTCAAGTCTAATGTTTCAATCAAATTTGTTGCTAACAATAGCCTAAAAATGGTGAGTTGATTTTGCTATAAAATTCCGGGCGACCATGTTTGATTCGACTCCCTTTTACATTCCATCACTTTTACATTTGTTCCTATTTTCTATTAGCGTCAGGGTTAGGGTCAGGTATTTACCATCGAAGAGCTTATTTTCTTTTCACTTATCTACTTGTTATTTACTTTCTGTGGTTCCACAACAATGAAATATGGAGACACAAAAATTGTAGTCACATCAAACATGATTGCCAAATTCCATAGGGGATGGAAGACAAACAACCAGCGTCACATGATTTGCTGATTTGCATATCAACAAAGACGTCTTTGCAGTACATACTACTGTGGTTTGAAAAAGAATATTTAAAGGCGCCAAGTCTCTAACTTTATATTTTCCATAATATTTAAAATTAAAAACACAAATTAGAATTCAATATTGATCAATTTCAATCAATATTGATGTTTTTATATTTGCCGTGAAACCATAGGATCCAAATATCAAATATTTAAGATACAATTAATTAAAATTTTATAATCAGTATTCAGTACACAGAGTCGGGAGCTTGGTGGATGACCGAATGGTTAGTTCGTATGTTGTATCGTAGGAGCAGAACAGTTAAACCCCATTTCATTCTTTTCATGTCCTTCCAGGGAAATCCTGGGAACCTACTTGACTAACGCTAATAATGTTATAAATTTCATATATTACAGGAAACTAATGATGTTATAACTTTTATATATGACAGGAAACAAATGATGTTATAACTTTTATATATTACAGGATACTAATGATGTTATAACTTTTATATATTACAGGAAACTAATGATGTTACAACTTTTATATATTACAGGGAACTAATGATGTTAAAACTTTTATATATTACAGGATACTAATGATATTATAACTTTTATATATTATAAGAAACTAATGATGTTATAACTTTTATATATTACAGGGAACTAATGATGTTATAACTTTTATATATGACAGGAAACTAATGATGTTACAACTTTTATATATTACAGGATACTAATGATATTATAACTTTTATATATTATAAGAAACTAATGATGTTATAACTTTTATATATTAAAGGAAACTAATGATGTTATAACTTTTATATATTACAGGAGACTAATGATGTTATAACTTTTATATATTACAGGGAACTAATGATGTTAAAACTTTTATATATTACAGGAAATTAATGTTGTACTTGTGAGGGAACTCGAAGAAGTGAAATCTGTTTTAGAACATGGTAAGAAATGGGAGACAAGTTTCAAGAATAACAGGGAAGGAAAACCATATCAATGTGATGTTTGTAGTAAATCATTTGGCAGCATTAGTAAACTAAGAGTACACATGAGAATTCATACTGGGGCGAAACCTTATAAATGTGATGTTTGTAATAAATCATTTGTTACGAATAGTCATCTGAAGAGACACATGAGAATTCATACAGACAAAAAACCTTATAAATGTGAGGTTTGTGGTAAATCATTCACCCAGGGTAGTGGTCTACAGAGACACATGAGAATTCATACCGGATATAAACCATATCAATGTGATGTTTGTAGTAAATCATTTACTCGTAGTAGTAATCTAGAACAACACATGAGAATCCATACCGGTGAAAAACCTTATAAATGTGATATTTGTAGTAAATCATTTACTGAACGAGGTAGTCTAAGGAAACACATGAGAATTCATACAGGCGAAAAACCATTTGAATGTGATGTTTGTAGTAAATCATTTAATCGGAATGATGATCTAAAAGTACATCTGAGAATACATACTGGTGAAACACCTTATAAATGTGATGTTTGTAGTAAATCATTCATTAGTAGTAGTCACATCAAGAGACACATGAGAATACATACTGGCGAAACACCTTATAAATGTGATGTTTGTGGTAAATCATTCACCCAGGGTAGTGGTCTACAGAGACACATGAGAATTCATACTGGTGAAACACCATATAAATGTGATGTTTGTAGTAAATCATTTACTCGTAGTAGTAATCTAGAACAACACATGAGAATTCATACTGGTGACAAGCCTTATAAATGTGATGTTTGTAGTAAATCATTCACCCAGGGTAGTCATCTACAGACCCACAGGAGAATTCATACTGGTGAAAAACCTTATAGATGTGTCGTTTGTAGTAAATCATTTGCTTGTAGTAATCATCTTCAGACACATATCCGAATTCATACTCGAGAAAAACGGTATAAATGTGATATTTGTAGTAAATCATTTTCGAGAAGGAATACTCTACAGAAACACATAAATAATCATGCTGTAGAAAAAAACTTAAAACTGTGATGTTGGTAGTAAATTGTTTTCAAGAATTGTTCATCTTCAGAGTCCTATATTTATCCTGTAATATACATGTAACCTGACAAATCTTGTATTTGTCATCTACAGATAAACATTAGAACTCGTACTGGAAAATCTGTCTTCTTTCACCGGGATTTAGCTGAAAAGTAGGACGTTTAATCCCATTTTATTTCATTACAGTTAATGAATAATCAAGACTAATTTTTTGATTTTATGTTTAGAATACTGGACTTTACACCCACCAAGTGGTACGAACTTGAAAATTAAACTCATGTGACCAAAATATGTACACATTTTATTTTTCCAAAGTGTAGACTGAGATGTAACATTAGGGATGAAACTCCTGTCTCTATAGTCCAAAGATATCTTCCAATTCAATTCATGGGACAAATAAGCCTTTTGATTTTTAACGATTTCTGATAATTACTGTCTGTGTAATTTATGATTACTAAAGTTTATTTAAATTGGGTTGGGTGGCCAGATGGTTAATTGAGTCAACTGGTGCGGTTTAGATTCCCTGCTTGGATGTGACAAAGAGTAGCATCATCTGTCCAACCTTGTGGGTTTTCTCCAGGTCCTCCGGTTTCCTTCCACTGCTAAAGACCCCAACGCGCAAAGCGTATTATTAAAATAAAATTGAACCATATGTTAGTCCTAAAATTACCTAGTCAGTGTAGAGTGGATGTTAAACCCCGTTTCACTGTCTACTCAGTTTTTAGTACATCTATATTGTAAATGATCCAATTACCGACAAAACAATAAATATATGACAACCTCCGTTTGGATGACTTTGCGGCTGTGGCCTTTTGTTTTGTTGCCTGGCAACCTGTCTTTGTAATAAATGTAAATTACTGCACCATGTATAAACCAAAAGGCACCATTAAATTTCTTGGGATCACGTGGCTAAGTGGGTAAGACGCTAGCTCGCTAGCCTGGAGGTCGGGTGTTCGATCCCTGCATTGGCCCGAGATAGTTCATCCAGATTTTCCGGCGTGGTTCTCCCTTGTCAGTGATGCAGGACGGAGGGGCTGACAAGGAAAGCTGTCTAGTCGTTCGGATGGGACGAAAAACCGAGGTCCCGTGTACACATTGGCGTGCACGTAAAAGATCCCTTGGCAGTTGGAATTCGATATAAGAGTAGGCCGTAGTGCCGCTGTCCGGGCAAAATTTCCCTCATAGCACACTGTATGGTGTATGCCCGTCTTCATTAGCCCAGGTTAGGAGCAGAACAGTAGGACGTTAAACTCCATTTCATACCATTAAATTTCTTGTAAAAAAAATCCAGTTATTATCAAAATATTTGTATATGCATGTTTACAGTTGTACATGTATGAATTTTAATTATTGTTTAATTAAATGTTCTGTCACAGTTAATATGCTATTAAAATTTTATATTTTCCTTGATGTGGTGTGGTTAATTCTTCCAAATAGGCTGCTGATATGAAGCAGTGATTAAGCCCCGCCTCCCCTCCTGTACTTAAACTTCCTTCCCCTGTTGTCTCAAGTCCACGAGCCAACGTTTGCCCAACAAAGTAAACATGAAAATCCTACTGTATCACACTGAATACATGTACCTATACATGTATTGTAAAATGACTTTTACTTTTGAGGAAATCTCCCTGTTGAGTCATATATCAATCAGAATTGTGGATAGAGTTATGCAGTCTCAGCATTATATCCCTTCCAGATTGCACCCAAACAAGAAGGGATTTTGACACAAACTGGCTAGGGTTTTAAACTACTTTAAAGAGCACATCAAATGAGCAAACAAAATTATGTATAACCAGTGGCCACTATAATATATACATTTTACCGCAAGTTTACACCAATCGAATTAAAATTATTCGACATATTAGCCATTTAAGTGTCAGACACCGAAACCACTTTCAATATTTCAATTACAGCCTTAAACCTTTTGATTGGCTGGTCATCAGTTCTGTTCAGTAGAAGAGTAGGCCATAGTGCCGCTGTCCGGGTAAAATTTCCCTCATAGCATACTGTATGGCGTATATATGGCAGGAAATATTTCTTTTGGCAACAAAGAATAATTATGGCAAAAAAAGAAGGCATGGGTCAAATATGATTCGGCAATCAGAGAATCAACACTATAGAATCTCATTCACTGTAGCCGAAAATGAAATTATATTTTTTGTGGGTTACTCAGGTTGTATTGGTCCACTTCGTTTTATGGTATACAACTGATTATAAACGTTGAACCGGAAGCGGAAGACAGTTCTTTGACTTCCGCTCTCTGGGCTGAATCGGCCATTTTGTGTGGTTTTCAAGGCCCGGCGTTACATAAAGATAAGAATGGTGAGTTGGTTTTGGTATAAAGAATGGAATAAATACAATTTAAGAATATGTAACAGACATTGCCTGAGTAGAGCGAAGATGATATCATTGCTGTTAAATATAAAACCTTCATAATTAATTTTCTCAAATGATACAAGTAATGTTAATGTATGACAACAAAAAATTCAAAAATCCCGTATGGCTTTAATTCTGTTATTTTTGGATAGAGCTGTCCAACAGCTTTACAATGACACCAAAATGAGCTTGAAAGGCCCAATATTAATGGAGTTATGCCAAATTAATTGTCGCTAATTAACACTCTTTTTGTCTGAAGAACAAAGAAGGACAAGTGAGGTAGCGTGTGCCAACCGAAAAAGGGACGTAACTCTTTTTTCTTAATTGGCTGTCACAAATATGGCGCTATTTTTTCGCGAAAAGCTAGCCTTGCATTACGGCCTCGTGTTGGTTACCTGCAATCGATACCGGTTCCATTCAACCGAAAACAGTTAGTTAAGAGGTCAAGGTTGCTCCGCATGCAAAATTTATCACTCGTAGCAAGGTAAGAATATTTTTTTTCTCCGATTGAAAAGTTTGAAATTTTGTAACTTTTTTCGTGGAAGATGCAGAGCGAAAAAAAACCTGCTCAAATATGGATTAAATATCCCTTTATAAGATCCATCTTCATTTATTTCCATAAGTGGACGTGAACATTGGTAAAATTCAATTTTTCTCCATGTGACCGAAATTCTGTCGGCCATATTGTAATGGCGGGGGCGTGTCAAATGTACCGTTAGACACCCGTTAGCTACACACGTGCTAATAATGAGTGATCATAGGAAGAATTTTAACCTTCTAAGACTTTGCAGTTGATTTTTTTACGAAAACAAACATAGCTCAGAATTGTATGGTATAATAAAGCCCAATAAAAAAAAAGAAATAAAGAGTACTTTTCTATATTTTTATTTTTAGGTTTTTTTTTTTAATTATTGAGAAATGGATTTTTACTAGTAGTTCTGAAGAGACATTACCCCCAACCGAAGAACTAGTAGAAGACACATTGGAATGTGGACAGAAGCTAAGCGATGAGAGTACTAGCAAAGAGTCAGAGGTGTGCACGGTAATTCAAAAATGTAATTTGTAAATTAAAAAGTATGTTGGGCTTTTTTGGGGATCAGCAAATATTATCAAATTTAAGAAGCTACCTTTGTATATTTAAATAAGTTTGAAATAGCTTTAATATTGTTTTATTTTTTGTATATTTCAGACTTCCTCCGAAATTGATTCCCCAAGTTTACCCAAATATAGATGTTACTCTTTTCATTACCGGTAGTACTGTTAACTTGACTTTATGATTGACAACTTAAATACCTGTAGTTAACTTTTTCATCTTGTTTGTCTCAATATTTTTATTATTTAACATACGGTATATTAGATTATTAATATTAACTCATGTATTATTAACTCATGTATCATGTATTCCAGCCTGTTTTCCTTCATTTTATCAGTATTGTTTAATCATATTTACAAAACTTTTTCAGTATATGCAGAATATTTTGTAGATATTTAGCTGAATTGTTGTGTTTTTTTATATTTTTATACTGAAAACTTCAATTCTGGAGTTTTGTTAGTTATGATTCAGTGCATTTATTTTGATAATTTTATTTTTTGATATTTCATACTCATAGCTGTCCACGAGAACATGGATATTTCATAGCTGTCCACGAGAACATGGATATTTCATAGCTGTCCATGAGAACATGTTTCCAGTTTCCATTTAATCATCAAAAAACAATTTCCACTATTTTTAATGATTTTTTTTTATAGTTATTATTTTTATGTTTTTTCGGAACAAAATATGTCCGATTTGCTTTAAATTTTGTCAAAATAAAAGGTAAAAACAATATTTTTGTGGTTGATTTTAGTAAATGTGTGTCTCTAGAACATCTGTGTACAATTTGAGTCTGTTCCAAAGTCATTCAGTTAGTCAAAATATTATTTTTTCAATTTTGCCTGTTTTTGACGGATTTTGGGAAAACGCTGCTTACGTATGGGTATATAAAATTAGCTACAAAAAACAAAGTTATGAACTGATTGTCATAATTGAAAAAGATTAATGATTCTCAGGTGTTTTTCTAACTGTGTGCAAAATTTCAGGTCTGTAGCTCAAAAATTGAATTTTGGTTGGCACATGCTAAGTGAGGCCATCATGCGCAGTCGCTAGCGGTAAAATTTCTCTAACTTTCTTACATGGCGGTCACGGCGAAACTGGATCAAAAATTTTCCGCATTACATATTTTGGCTCCGCACCTACCAATTTCATTGAAAACTCGCAGAGTTAAAGTTTAATATACAGTGCACTCTGTCACATCCGACCTCTGATCACTCCGGCACTCTGTTACATCCGACACCATTTTCATGGGTATCACGTCATTTGATACTCACGTCATTTGGGACTCAACATAAACGACATTTGGGACTCAGTTGACGACGTTTGGGACTTGATTGGCGTCAATTGGGACTCAACACAAACGACATTTGGGACTCAATATAAACGACAGTTAGGACTATTTATTTATGAGATATACATGTATAGTAACAGCTGTCTTTCGTTTTATTTAGTTGATCGGCGTCTGTTGAGACTGCGATTAACACTGCTAGTTCTCCTTTGTTTTGTTTTATCTGCGAGTATAAAACTTCTCCTTTGTTTTGTTTTATCTGCGAGTATAAAACTTGACAATAATATATTGTTGAAAATTTGTGTATATTTAGTAATACTTCGTTGTTTTTCTTTTATCAAATAGTAAACAAGCTTGATTGACCGACTACTGCACCTGTTTTTTCGTGAAACGGTATAACTGCAATCAACACACGGATGCCATTCTCGATGATTGACAACTCACGTTTTTCCTCATCCACCAAAGAACCGTTAGGTTTCTTTGAACATACTGCAATAACATCGGGATTATCAGTTAATCAGCTTTAATTATCCCGCTTTGATCGTTGCCATTTCTTATATTTTCCACAAAAAAACTTTGCCTTGTACGCACTAATTTATCGATTGGTATTGCCATCTACGACAAGCATGTCAACATGCAGCTCACGGATTATCGTTAACAATTTCTAGGGGCTTGTAAAAAAGATTGCATGTCGTGTAAATATTTATTTTGTTTTTTTGTGTAGGTCATTTTCAAATAAATTCATCAGCATATTATTAGTTTTAAATAAATATATAACTTTTATGAGAATCGATGATTATCAAAGAACCGTAAGTGCAACTAATGTTTTATCGTTTGGTTGAGCCTTTTACTAACCACGTGTTTCATGTTAATAAATATTTTCTTTCGTGTTTTGAATTGGCCTATTTCTAATAAATTATCCCGATACGAGTCCCAAACGACGTATATACCCGAGTCCCAAATGTCGTGGTCATATTTTTTTTAGTCCCAAATGACGCGAGTCCCAAATGACGTCAGCCCCAAATGACATGTAATCTTTTCATGTCCCGATTTATTTCCTTATTACTTCAGCCAAAAAATCTCTGGGTAATTCGACCTCTGTACATTCCGGATTACGACATCAATCAGCCGTCCCGTCATACGATTTCCAATTGAATCGACACCGTATAATCCGGCCTTCAATCGGTAGGTGTTAAGCAAACACTTACCGATCAATTATCCTTGAGATTAAAACGGGATGGGTGTGAAGCCACAAAAGATTAACAAGCAATCACCAATCAATTATCTGTGAGATAATACTCAAGAATATACAAATTTTCCCCCGAATTCACAGTCGTAAAAATATTCCTAACACCTGTTGGAAACATTCGTTGCGCATGCCGATTGAACCTGAATAACCTATAAGTTTGGTCACCCTACGGATCTCTTCGAACCGTGTGACGACGACCTGGGGGTGCTCGATTCACAGTCCGGAACGTCCCGAATTAACAGAATTACAATTGAATGACGTGGAATTCAGTTCTGTCAGTCCCGACGACGGAGGTGGTGTGAGTAAAATTATGACGTAATTAAGAATGTGTTTGCGTGGACCATGCAGGGACCGGCACATGATGGGTGACCGATTTTCACCATTTTTTTTATGTATGATGGGTAACCCCTCCAAACCCCACTGCAACAATTTTAGATCAATCGAACCATTTTTAGAGCGTAGAAAAAAATTTGAAATTTTAAGACCGAAAAAAGCCAAAAAATCATCATTTTCAGGCCACTTTTCAATTATTTCGTACAACTAAACTACGGCGAGTAGATTAATGAAACTTTATAGTGTAGCAGATATGGTTAGTGAGTATACATTCTGAAAGTTTGATGAATTTTCATGGCGCGGTTTTTGGTATAGGGACTTATTGCTGCAAGGTACCAAAATAGCTCAATTTAGGTATGTCATTTTATTCTATCTATATCTCACCCACTGCGGGTTTAAGTATTTTTTGGGAATGCTGACAGAAAAGGCAATGATCTATAATATTAAGATCAAGAAAAAAATTGGGTGACACTCGACCCGTTAAGTAGTAAATAATTTCCATTTTTGTACAAAAATAATGATTTTCAACAAAAATGACAAAAAATAAACCGCTTTATTTACACACTGAAAAGTGTAACATGGCACCTGAAACCAAATTAAAGTGGTTTCCAGTTCCATTAAGAGCAAGTCATAATAAAAATAGAAATAAACAAATAAATATAAACGCAGATTATATACTTTCATCAAAAAATTCAAGTTTAAAAAATGTTCCATTATCAAAACTACAAATACTTATTACTATCTATCTATCTATCTATCCAATAAGTATCTAATCACGAAAACTGAGCTCACAATTACACTGTTAAAATTTATTTATCTATCTATCTATCCAATAAGTATCTTATCACGAAAACTGAGCTCACAATTACACCGTTAAAATTTTCAAACGATGAAGTTTGAAAAGCTTAATTTACTGTAAATGCCAAAAGTGTAGCTCTTGGTAAATACAATTAATCGCACTAGACTATTTGTCAACATTTTATTAATTCGGCAATATAACCTCATGATCTAGCAGAAGGATGATGAATTTTTCAACAGCAAATCGTAAAAACTAAATAGTGTACTAGTCATATACATCTGTCTATACCTGAAAAACGAATCAAGCGATATTTCAAAAAGACAAAAAACATATTGTATATGAGCGTAAGGTCACTATTTTAGCAAACTCCCTGCAGTGTTTAGTTTGATTAGACCTAATCCCACTCAACACTGTCGTAATGAAAGCAAATTTCTGTTCCAAATTGTGACTCGTCAATAGTTCGATTAACAACCAATACCTAACTGCGTAACAATATCATTCTGGTTTAAAAAGTTTCAAATATGTTAACATAACGTTACGTCATGATTCACGAAATTTATTACGCCCAATTAACCAGTGCATAGCAGAATATTGCAGAAAAACTAATTGCGTGACAAACGAGGTTATCAACATGGCTACAATGTAAACAATACTGTTTGGAACAATACTTTCACACCGTTTTTAATACCTTAAATCACTGTCCAAAGTTTTAGTGAAGACCCCAGATTAAATGAAAGACTTTACTATAGGAGCGATTTGATTGAACGGGAAGAATAGACACACTCCCCCAAAAACGTAAGTATCAGAAGTCAATCCAGCAATGGCCAGAGCAGCATTTCTCTGGTTATTGCTTCAGGAATATGCTATTATAGTTTCTTTCGGATAACTGGCTACTAAACCGCATTTTATTTGTGCAAAAGACAGGAAAATGAACAGCTGATTTCATCCGCCATCTTGGATGCTGGAGTGCAAATCTAACTTCGGCCTGACGAATAATAATAATAATAATATTAATATGTACATTTATATAGCGCATCTACTCCATGTACAGAAGCATGTCCACTGCGCATACAATTAAATTAATTTAATTAATCTTGATAAGTCTTGCTGTAAAACAAGAAAGGGTTTGAGATGATTTAATGATCTCTGGAAGATTGTTACGCAGTTTAGACGCTTTCACTGAGCACGATCCGTATCCAAATGATATTAATTTTCACCTTGAGCAACAAAACTGATGAATGTGTGTTGGGCCGGAGGTTACTCGATTGAACTTGTATGTGCATAAAGTTAGATAAGTATATTTGAGCTAAGCCATTCACTGTGAATGATTCACATACTGATACGTCAAAGACAGACTTTTGAAGATGATTGGCAGCCAATAGATTGATTTCAGAACAGGAGTAATATGAGAGTGTTTTGATGATCTGGTAAGAATTCGAGCTGCGGTATTTTCTACAAGTTGATTTTTTTTAATATTGGCACTAGATGTTTCTACTAACAAACGCTGTTACAGTGGTCAGTCCTTGGGAATACCAAAGAACATATAAGTGTAGCAGCTGCTTCCTGGCTAATAAAGTTCCTGGACCAAAGATAACAGTTTCGACAAATTTCACTAATGTGACTGTCCATGCTCAAATTGGACCCAAAGAGGACACCTAACCTCTTCACAGTGTCTCGTGGTAAAAATATTACATCTCGTACAACCACATCATTTGAACTTGTATTTTTCAGATGTGTATTTTGACCACTTAAAATACATTCTGATTTACTTAATTCAATTAAATTTAATTTCAACATATTTCTTGTCATCCTATCTTTAATGTCATGTGTACACAATTTGATGTCAGAATAGTTAGGGAATGAAACAGTTTTTGAAAGGGAATAACTTGCGATCAGCTGTGTATCATCTGCATAAGAATGTCATCCTAGAAACCATGATTATCGATTAGTTGTCCCAAATTCTTAGTACCGCTATACATTACAGAAAGGACAGGTCCAAGGACTGATCCTTGTGGAACTCCCGAATCATCTGTACCGGCCCTACACAGAGTTGCTGGATGGCGGTTGCATGGGGCATTATCAGGCCTAATAATCCAGGCAATGAATGATTTTATTGGAAAAATGATGTCAAAAATGGAAGTCAAGTTCGACCATCAAATTTAATATGAAAGAAATCCGTGCCAGTCATTTTCTCAAAACCAAATATTAGTATTAGTAGTCCTCAGCTTCCATTATTAATAGAATTGTCCTCAGCCCCGCAGTGGGTGAGATATAGCATCATGAAATTTATATGTTTTAGCATATAGGAAAAACTACGTCTCAAAATAAATTCCTCATAGCCTCAAATGGTTTTGGAAAAATTTAATAGTCATATATATTGAAGTAGTACACATTATCATTCATAAAAAAAATAATTAAAAAAAAAAAAATCAATAGACAATGTATGGGAAATATTTAAATTTAGGGATTTTTTTTTTTAAAAAATGAGGGTTTTTAACTCTAAAATGGCCATAGCTGGTTCTCCGTAACTACAAGGTTGGTGACCCTCATATTTCATGTGGGGTATACAGGCTACCCAATAACCAAATCTGCAAAGTTTGGTCAAAATCACCCGACACCGCTTGTGCCGTTTTTATAAAATTTTGCATGATTCTCTCGCGAACTCATTCTTAAACACGCCGAACAGGTTTCGACTGCATGGTTGGATGAAATATTTATATATCCAGTCGACTCATGCGTTGTAGCCCGAAGTACCCATTTTCACTCCATTGTCGTTCAATCGAGTACGCCCATTGTCAATGAACACGTTATAGCAAAGACAAGAGTGCGATCAACTGAAGACGGAGAAGAAGATAATTAACGACAGACTTGACCTATTCAAAATGCCTACGCATGTTAAATGAAATAAAAATCAATATAATAAAATTTTGAATGTACAGAAAGGTTTATCATTTTTAAAGGGAATAACATTCTGGTGATTCGAAGTTCTATTATAATAATACTTCCGGTTTTCGAAGTTACAATATTTCCGGTTTTGAGAAAACTGGGTATTCCGACACTCTGCGTAATCCGACATATTGTAACGATCCCGTACAATGTCGGATGTGACAGAGTGCACTGTATGTATTTTCTAATTTATATATTTTTAAACCTATGCTATTCTGGTATCCGTCCCAAAAATCGTGTTGTTTTCAACTTTCATTTTCATGTTTCGATTTCTCTGCACATGGAGCAGCTAGAGTAAAAATTTGAAAAGAAGGTGAAAAGCTAGCCTTTTATTTATGAAAATAACCTCATTTGAAGCCGCAGTTTCGTACCAATCAACAATACTACGAGCAAGAAAAGCCGATACGCAAATCACACTGGCGTATCTGAAGCGTGACTCGCAACAACGAAATTACGTCAGCGGTTCACTGCTTCACTGGCGTACCTAGTTAAAGCTACAATTTCATATTTTTAAGTTATATTTTTATTAAAATAAAGCCCTAAAATAGATGGTATCCATAAACAGTCCTACCTTGTTAAAGAATAATCCTATTAATCCTATAATTCACTATTGCCAGCTGAGAAATTGGCAAAAATATCATTTTCAGCTTCAAATTCAAACGTTTGAACATAGCTATTCCATGGAGGTAATAGGAAAACAAGGGAGGTAATTGTGTTATTATTTCCTGTGTCAATGATTTTTAAGGATGGGAAATAATGCCCATGATCGTATTATAGTGAGTTGATATCCTATTGAGCAAAAGACATCGAAACAAATGTTTTGACTTTCTTAGAAAATTTGAAATTCTCGCTTTAAATAATCTTGTTTTTCTAAATTGATTTTAATTTAGATCTAAATTGTATGATTAATTTTGTTTAAAAAAAACCCCCATAAAATTGCGATAATTATTCTTGTTGACGTCAGAAATATGTGACGTCATTGATAAAACGCGTCAATAAAAATATTTTTATGAGACGCGTAATCTCGCTTTCGCGAGATTTGGTAAGTTGGCATGACAGTTTTAGTTACGCTCCTGTGTTACTGGAAAAGAGCTTTGCTCAAGCACGCTTCAGAACTTCGCTCTATAATATTCTCATAAATAAAAAAAAGTTACGGTCTGGGTCAAGTTAAAGTGTTGTCGTCGTGTATAAACATGGCCCCTTTTTTAAAACTTGTTCTTTGTCCATCTATTAGGGGTTTCAGGTCAAAGTTTTCTAATGATGTTGTAACTTTTATATATTACAGGAAACTAATAATGTTATAACTTTTATATTTTACAGGAAATTGATGATGTTGTAACTTTTATATATTACATGAAACTAATGATGTTATAACTTTTATATATTACAGGAAACTAATGATGTTATAACTTTTATATATTACAGGAAACTAATGGTGTTATAACTTTTATATATTACAGGAAACTAATGATGTTATAACTTATATGTATTACAGGAAACTAATGCTGTTATAACTTTTATATATATTACAGGAAACTAATGATGTTATAACATTTCATCAATGTGTTGTATGCAATGGGATCTTTCAACAACTTGATGATTTGGAACAACACAATAAAATACATGTTAAAGAAGAGAAAACTGAAGGTGTAGATGAATATTGTCATGTTAAAGAAGAGAAAACTGATGATGTAGATGGATATTGTCATGTTAAAGAAGAAAAAACTGAAGATATTGAAACATGCTATCAGTGTAATTTGTGTGATGAAGAATTTAAATCGGATATTGATTTAGAGAAACATTGTGAATTACATGTTAAAGAAGAGAAAACTGATGATGGAGCTAAATACTGCCGTGTTACAGAAGAGAAAACAGATGATGTAGATGAATATTGTTACGTTAAAGAAGAGAAAACTGAAGATGACAGTGTTGAAAACGGTTTAGAAGCAGATGAGTTGGTTTCATTTAACGAAAGCCAGTCATTTAAGAAACACATAAGAACTCATATAGGGGGAAAACCTTATAAATGTGATGTTTGTAATAAATCATTTCCACGGAGTAGTAATCTAGTGACGCATATGAGAACTCATACAAGGGGAAAACCTTACCAATGTAATGTTTGTGGTAAATCGTTTAGTGTGAATTGTAATTTAAAGAGACACATGAGAATTCATACGGGAGAAAAGCTTTTTAAATCTTATAAATGTGATGTTTGTAGTAAATCATTTTCACAGACTGGTCATCTACAACAACACATGAGAATTCATACTGGTGACAAGCCTTATAAATGTGATGTTTGTGGTAAATCATTTACTAATATTGGTAATCTAGAGAGGCATATGAGAATTCATACTGGGGGGAAACCTTTTAAATGTAATGTTTGTAGTAAATCATTTGCTCATAATGGTAATTTACAGAGACACAGGAGAGTTCATACAGGTGCAAAACCTTATAAATGTGATGTTTGTAGTAAATCATTTGGCGAAAATCATCATTTACAAGCACACATTACCACCCATAGTGGAGAAAAGCCTTTTTGGTGTGATGTTTGTGGTAAATCATTTGCACATGGTGGAAGCCTACAGTTACACATGAGAATTCATACCGGTGAAAAACCTTATAACTGTGATGTTTGTGGTAGATCATTTGCTTATAGTAGTAATCTACAGAAACACATTAGAACCCATACTGGGAAAAAACCTTGTAAATGTGATGTTTGTGGTAAATCATTCGCTGATAGAAGTAATCTACAGAGACACATGAAAACCCATACTTAAGACAAACCTTATAAATCTTATAAATGTGATGTTTGTAATAAATCATTTGGTCAAACTCATCATTTACAGGTACACATAAGAACTCATACTCAGGCCTGGAAATAAAGGTTTTAGATGTACCCGACAAAATGTCAGACACTAATGAAAGATCACCTGACATTTTAAACTGGTAAATCATTTTATAAAAATAGTTGTTTACATGGTAATCTGTACTGGAGAAAAATTTTATAAATGTGATGTTTGTGATAAATCATCTCATCAAAATCTGCAATACATAAAAACTTACACTTGTGAAAAACTTTATTAATGTGTTTTTTGGGGCTTGTGTTACAGATTGAATTATATATCTAAATAAAAAATTTATGGAATGTCTTGTAGAAAATTGTTGATCTTCCCCTTTGAAATGAAATTGGATCCTATAATAAACTGCCTGGCCCAATCATGTTCAGGGATGGCCTAATCTTCTGATGGTATGGTAATAAATACAAATCATTTAATCATTTAAAATATCCAAAGCTTCCAAACTGTGGTAGTTGGCGGGCATAGCTCCAAACCAAGTGCCGTGAAGTATGGGGTACCACAAGACTCGGTCTTAGGTCCCCTGCTATTCATGACCTATACATCATCCTTTGGTTCTATCATACGCCACAATAGCCAGAAGTACTAGCTGTATGCTGATGACACTCAGCTTTACATAGGCTTCGAGCATTCCAATGAACAAGACAAGATTGGTAAACTGGAATAGTAAGAAAATAAAAATGATGTAATCATTGAAAATATCCAAAGCAATGCATGGGTTGTGGATGGCCGAATGGGTAGCACGTGCGCGCTGTATCATAAGGTTGGTCATTGAGTCAACTGGCGTGGTTTCAAATCCCCGGTTGTACGTGACAAGGAGTAGGGTCGCCTGTCCAACCTCGTGGGTTTTCTCTGAGTCCTCCGGTTTCCTCCCACTGCTAAAGACCCCAACGCGCAAGGAAATTATTGAAATAAAATTGTACCATGTTAGTCCCAAAATGACCTAGTTTGTGTCGTGGACATTAAACCCCATTTCTGTCTCTCTCCTCTCATGAACCCAATGCTATCAACTAATGGATCTATAAGTCTCAGCTTATCAATAGGGTTCGTCCTCTCATGATCCCAATGATTCAGACCCAAAGTATGTCAAAAGCTATATCCTGTATCATGTTCGCAAGGTTTTAGGGAACAGGGCATAACTCCAGAACAGAAGACCCACTGCTGTCTATTATTCAGACAAATCTTGTACAATCTGGATGAGTTGTCAACCTTTGAGAATAACTAGGTCATTGGCTAGATTATCTGGTCTTTTACATTATCATAAACAAAGTCTAAGAGAGGTTACACTGTAACCCAGATATTGTTTAATCTTGTGTATCTAGCACTAATTTCTTTCACATTCGTTTAATATCAAATCTTTGTTTAAAAATTCGTAAAAATTGTTTAAAATCACCAAAAATCATCTAATTTGTACATTGTACATGTGTCCAGTTTAAAGCTGACTGATTAATTGTGATAATGAACGTCCAATTTACAAGTATTTAATTCCCTGATCACTGTTCAAAAATTAATCATTATACGTCATTAATCAATTGGGTTGTTTATTTTTTAACAATGATTGAGAAACTAAACACTTGTAAATTGGACGCTCATTATCAAAATTGAATGGTCATCTTTAAACTGGACAGAAGTACAAATTAAACAATTTATGGTGATTTTAAACAGTTTTTACAAATTTTTAAACAAAGATTTGATATTAAACAAATGTGAAAGAAATTAGTGCTAGATATACAAGATTAAACGATACCTGGGTTACAGTGTTACTAGCCCTAAAACGCCCATGAAATTAATTTAAGAATTGCCATTTCAGAACAATCTATTTGCACTGCCTGTTCAATATCCAACACTCTTAAACATGCATTATGCAAGAGCTAAGTCTGCCAAGTGCAGGTCTTTCTTTAGTCCTGAAATGTTATATAAACTATTAATTAGACATTTTATTAACTTATCCAGACAATAATCAACTCACAATACCAGTGCCCTGGTTACCACAATGCACACATCTTGTCCAAACAGCAAAAAGTGATAATTTGGCTCAGAATAAAGTAATTTAAATGAAATTTTCAATATTTTCATTTTACATTATCTATTTTCAAAATATTATAGTAAGAATGGCCAGCTCTTTAGCTTAATTTTACATAATGTATCTTGAATTATTTTATTGTAAAATTTCTCTTTTCAAGGACCTTATCTAATTTGTACCAAAACTATTTATCTGGTGGTTATTTCCAATAAAAGTATGGCAAATTTGATATATTTATGGAAAGTATAGACACCCAATCTTACTAAAAAAAATATTGGATTACCCGAAAAACACCCATGGGGCAAAAATGTCAGGCTATCACTTACTGGCAACCTGACTGTTGTCCGCCAGCTTATTGTGTGCTAGCTTGACTGAGGGAGCTGTTGATCAAAGGGTTAGGCTGTTTTGAGAACATTGAGGGGTGTCAACGTACGAAGGACTCTGCAATTAAAGGTTGGAAAAAGTAGTTGACAGAAAATAATTAAGAATTTACTTAGGCCTCAATATGTAGGTCTATGATAAATGAACAGTAAGTAATGGAAAATATATTTGGAAAAATGGACCCTGCTTTGTGAAGATGTGCTGACCCTTTTCATATATTTCAAGTTTCTTGCAACTTCAGGAGCCACAGTAGCTAAGTGGGTAAGATGCTGGCTCGCTAGCCAGGATTTTCCGGTGTGGTTTCTCCTTGTCAGTGGTACAGGACGGAAGGGAGGACCCAGAGAAAACCCAGGAGGTTGGACAGGCGACTCTACTCCTTGTCGCGTACAACCAGGGAATCGAAACCATGCCAACTGACTCAATGACAGGCCTTATGATACAGCAGGCATGTGCTAACAATTCAGCTATCCAGATCCCCTGTCTTAACCAATACAGCTTGGTCTCACACTGTATTTAAAAAAGACGGTAAAATGTAAAATGAAATGAAATAGGGTTTAACGTCCTACTGTTCTGCTCCGAACTGGGCTAATGAAGACGGGCATATGCCATACAGTGTGCTATGACGGAAATTTTCCCTGGACAGGGGCACTATGGCCTACTCTTATATCGAATTCCAACTGTCAGGGGATCTTTTACGTGCACTCCAATGTGTACAAGGGACCTCGGTTTTTAGTCCCATCCGAACGACTAGACAGCTGTTCTTGTCTGACCCTTCGTCCTGTATCAGAGACAAGGGGGAAGCACGCCGGAAAATCTGGATGAACTTTCTCGACCAATGCAGGGATCGAACACCCGACCTCCAGGGTAGCGAGCCAAAGTCTTACGCACATAGCCACTGTTATCCTCTGGATCAAAAGAAGGACCAAAACAATTTAAGTGTGTTTGTGTACCTATGGATGTGAGATTTGGAAAATTAAGATTGACAAGTTACTTACTGAAGAGACACAAAAAAAAACCCACAAAAAACATCGCGATACATCGATTCGGCATCTCATGATTCAATACACAAATCATGAGAGAGTGAATTGTGATTCATCAATATATCGTGCCAGCGCTAGGGAAAACCACACTGGAAATCTCCATGAACTTTCTTGGTCAACAGTCAACACTTGGATGGAACCCGCAAGTGGCCACAACCTCCATGCGAGCGAGCTAGCATCTTACCCACTTATCCACTGTGGGTCCTGTTTTACAGGTAAACTGTCAATCTGTTTCACAGACCATTACGAAAGTCTTCTAATATCTCTGTAAAAGATGGCTATCTTCAACATGTGACGTCTCATCACGCGGCGTCAATCATTGGCTTTATGGCGCATGCATTGTTTACATTGGAGTCTTTTACTCATTTTAATACCAATTTACACTAAATAGTAAATAATTTTTACCTACAAATACGTCAAACGTCATTATTTATTTTTCAAATACATAAAAAAAAATGTTTTAGAATTTAATTTGTCGGAGGAAAATAAGTCGCATCGATTTCATCCTTATCAGTCATTGTAGTGGCCTAGTGAATATTCACTGGTGATCAGTATGGTAAACTGTCTCTAATTGCACATAGCATGGTACATATATATGCATCTGTATATTGTTGGAACACAGTTACTGCATTTATATCAAAGCTACACAGAGAAATAAATCATTGTGAGTTACTCGTTTTTGATTGATCCACATGTCAATTTTAACATACAACCATCTGCATTATTTTCCGGAAATGCAAATAGAAGAGACGTTTCAAGAAATGACCGTGTTTTCTACATTTCTTTATTTCAGTCGTAGGCGTCTGTTGTATGAATTATTTTGTTGAATCAACCATTTTACATCTGGGTAGTATTTTGTGAAAAAGTCAGACCAACTGACTTTAGGAAAGACGATACTAACATAATAATGGTAAGTCTTGTAAAAATTGAGGTCACTCGTACACCAGAGTGTCTTGAGGTTTCGTTCACAGTAACCTCAAGATTCCTGAAGCAGTAGCCTACTTATTTGGAGCGAACTGCGACTGAATTGTTGGCGCATCAAACAGCCACGAGCTGAAAGCCGTCAGTTGATAAATGCTAAATGCATGTCCTAATTTATTGTGTTATCCACCTCTGAACAACAATAACACTTACTGACAAACAAACGTTGTTCAGTGAAACAAGTTTATCCAATATCACATACACCAGCATTTCTTTCAGTCGCCATGTTGGGATAGTTGGAGCTTTTTTTGACGTCATATCCTCCACATTAAAATTTGAGGACCCCTATTTTACCCGAAACGAAGTGTGTTTTTGAACAATATTTTTATGGATTGCGTATATGTACTGTTTTTGTAGAGGTTTTATATCGGGACAGAAGACGATTTTCTATTGAGTAATAATTAGGTCGCTCTTCACACGTAGTTGAAAATACACAACGTCCATTGAGAACTTAATAATTATTTTTCTGCATGATTAATTAGTAGGCCTAAATCATGACCAGTGCTTGAAATTAGGATTCTTCTACAACGGCACCAAAAATTTATAAATGCCGCAACAAAAATTAGCTGACAATTATAAGACACGACTGCCTTTCTTCATATTTAACAAATATACTGTTGTCATTTTCCGTCACTGAATGTGCAATTTTTATATTTGTAGATAGACAAACGGCCCGTGCAATAATTTTCCGTGTCAATTAATCTGGTTCTAATTGCGTTTGGTGGTTTTGTCATAAGTATAAAATTTACAGATTCCTCTTGGAGTAATAAAGTCATCGAAATTTGTTTTCCTTTTGATCCTTTAATCATTGTGTTCCCAATGGTTGCCATTGTGGTGATCTGAAACGCACGTTCATAGCCCGATCCACGTCCCCAATTTAGACGACTTAATTTTCTTATTTAGTAATTAGTAATTATTTAATTTAATTGTCCATTTTTAACTTTGTTAATATGTACCCATATTGTTATTCATATTTCTATTGTAATGTATTTCATAACTCCGTCCTTACACGCGCTGCCATTGGCCCGCTGTCTATTGGCTGCACGTGTTTATGATTGACAGGAACAGTAGGTGTGTCTTGTACCACGTGCTTACGTCACGTGATTTTGGGGTATATAGTACCTTGTCTTGTCCAATTTAGTAGAATCGGAGAGTTGAATCGTGATCAGCTGAGGTAAGACATATACCAGTTGACTGACGAGTCTGACCCCGACGTATAGGGAGCGATTAAGAGAGCCCGACAAGGAGCGATTAAGAGAGCCCGGCAAGGAGCGAGTAATAGAGTCTGATTGGGAACACTTTAGAGCTGACGAGTGTTGGATGGAAATTATTTATTTTTGTATTGAGTGGATAATAAAGAGTTGCTGATTAATCTGGTGTTAGTCTTTCTGAGCCAGCTGCCTGGTTGGCTACTCCCACACCTCTACAGTAGTGAACCCTCAACGGAATTAATGGATAGAGCCGGGCCCACTCTACCACAGTAATCCGCTCTATCCGGGGATCCAGTTCACTACACCATCATGTCAACCATAACTAAAATTGATTCATCAAATTTCCCAAGGCTCTGCCATAACCATCTATAATAAGGGCACTATTTTAGAAAGTGAGCATTCTTATGAAAAAATGAACTATAAGGGTAGGCTTGGGACACTATTTACAACTAAATCTTGCATTTCTGAATTATTGACCTAATCCCAAGCCCAGCCGCCCCTGGACGACTGTATGATAAGTTATTACCTATGCATTTCATGCGTCTACATGTATATAAAAGGCATAACTTTTTGATGCATGTACACGTGACCAACGGCGCAATTTAGGCTATTTTTATTACTGTGGCAGTCCGTGTTTGCTTCAGCTTTTACTTTTTACGACAGTTTTGCAGTTATGCCGTGGTAAATTCTAGCACAAGCTGTATGATTGAGATTATTATTTATAAAATGTTCTTAAATGTTGATTACAATATAAATCCTTAAATTTGTCGGCATTCGTAGAATGTTTCATCTCTACCGGTTGATTATGATAGCTTCTGTCTTGTCAATGTCATGTTACATTTTCCCGCTTTTTCTATCTAAAGAGTTGAAAATATCTAAGTATCGAGTCTTGTATCCCCCACACGGCAACTAAAATAAAAGGGCTGAGTGTCATTTTAAGCAAGAGACTAGAGAGAATGCTTTGTTCATAATTTGAATAATATTTTATGAAAAGGTATTTGGCTGCCGAGTCTTTTTGAACAGATATCGGCTACGCAAATATCGGTAAAATTTCTTCAGATAGGCCACTCATCGACCAATTAGACTACTGAGTGGTGAAACCAATAATCGGATCATCACTATTAAAATAAATTTAAAATGATCGCCTTCAAATTATAGTCTCATGATTTCGTTTTGTTTAAAGAATTCCGTTCGTAATGTGCACCATGCCAGATTTCAACTTTCGTCAATGTAGGTCATTTCCTGTTTCACTGTGTTTTGTTGCATGTAGGCGAAGATTTTTGTGAAATCTCTTAAAATAGACAGCAAAAAATTTTGTCCGGAACATAGATGGATATGATATGTAAGTTTAATGTGTTAGCAGTGCAGATAACTGAAAATTGTGAATTTTACCGTCCGCTGAAAGAAGTAAACTAGTTGTCAACTTTTGCGACAAGCTTTTGACCGTTCAGATGTTAGATGTTACGTCGTCAGAATATCAAAGAGTAACATCTAACTTGTTGGATTAGGGTCACTCGCAACTATCACTGAGTTTCTAATCCCTATCGGTCGGTAAATCGCTAACCTATCTCGCCCACGATGGCCGAAGTGTAGGCAAAATGGGTCAAGGGGTGTTTGAATAGACAAGCAGTTAAATTAACACTTCACTAAGCAGCTACAACTCGAAGATTAAAGATAATAAGCTAACATGTGATACATAGGTATATATATAAACAAGCAAGAGATCAATCTACATATACCCAATCCATATAAGAATATATAAAGCTGTCTACAGTCCAATATCACAATCCTCTCTAACCTCTGGTATGTACCGTAGTCTCAAAGTAAGTGGGAAGCCTAGACCAACCGCAGGCCTTTATATAAATGAAATGAAATGGGGTTTAACGTCGTACTGTTCTGCTCCTAACCTGGGCTAATGAAGACGGGCATATGCCATACAGTGTGCTATGAGGGAAATTTTGCCCGGGCAGCGGCACTATCGCCTACTCTTATATCGAATTCCAACTGCCATGGGATCTTTTACGTGCACGCCAATGTGTATACGGGACCTCAGTTTTTCGTCCCATCCGAACGACTAGACAGCTGTCCTTGTCAGGCCCTCCATCCTGCATCACTGACATGGGGAAACCACGCCGGAAATCTGGATGAACTTTCTCGGCCAATGCAGGGATCGAACACCCGACCTCCAGGCTAGCGAGCCAGCATCTTACCCACTTAGCCACGTGATCCCCAGGCCTTTATATAAGAAACACTAGGGGGTCATGTTGGCTAAGTGGGTAAGATGCTGGCTCGCTAGCCTGGAGGTCGCGTGTTTGATCCCTGCATTGGCTGAGAAAGTCCATTCAGATTTTCTGGCGGAATTCCCTCTTGTCAGTGATGCAGGACGGAGGGTCTGACAAGGACAGCTGTCTAGTCGTTAGGATGGGATGAAAAACTGAGGTCCTGTGTACACATTTGTCTGGTACAACTAAAACCGTTATTTCCAGACCTGAACACCTCAATACATTTTTACTCCTCAAACATGTTGATATGAGTTGACCCATACTTGACGTCTCAAAAAATTAAACATACATTATGCAAGAGCTAAATCTACCTATTGCAGGTCTTTCTTTAAGCCTGAAATGTTATCTAAATTATTAATTAGACATTAACTAACTTATCCAGGCCATATTACAGAAAGCTAGTGATGTTATAACTTTTATATATTACAGGAAACTAATGACGATAAAACATTCCACCAGTGTGTTGTGTGTGACAAGATTTTTCAACAATATGATGATTTAGAAAATCACAATAAAATACATGTTAAGGGTGAGAAAACTGATGATATAGTTGGATATTGGGATATAAAAGAAGAGAAAACTGATGGTGTAGATGACTATAGTCATGTTAGACAGGAGAAGACTGAAGATATTGAAACATGCTATCGGTGTTATTTATGTGATGAAGAATTTAAATCTGACACTGATTTTGAAAAACATTGTGAAATACATGTTAAAGAAGAGAAAACTGACGATGTTGATGAATATTGTCATGTTAAAGATGAGAAAACTGATGATGTAGATGAATATTGTCATGTTAAAGAAGAGAAAACTGATGATGTAGATGGATATTGTCATGTTAAAGAAGAGAAAACCAATGATGTGGATCTGTATTGCTATGAAGAGATGCCGGATGAAGCTGATGATATTGAAACATTTCATCAGTGTAATTTGTGTGATGAGAAATGTAACTCTTACATTGATTTAGTAGAACATTGTAAAATACATGTTCAGGAGGAGACGTTGGTTTCACAACGTGTTGATACTTGTGGCCAGCATAATTTACCACATCGACAAACTTATACTCGAAAAAAACCTTTTAAATGTGATGTTTGTGGTAAATCATTTAGTGAATCTCAGCCATTAAAGATACACATGAGAATTCATACTGGAGTCAGACCTTATAAATGTGATGTTTGTAGTAAATCATTTACTCACGATGTTTGTTTAAAGAATCACAGGAGAACTCATTCAGGAGTGAAGCCTTATCAGTGTGAAGTATGTGGGAGTTCATTTGCTAGAAAATCTGATCTGGAAAGGCATGCTCGAACACATACTGGCCAGAAACCTTATAAATGTGATGTTTGTAATAAATCATTTTCTCTTAATTATCATTTAAAGGAACACCTGAGAATCCATACAGGTGAAAAATCATATAAATGTGATGTTTGTAGTAAATCATTTAGTCATAGAAGTAGTTTGCAATCACACATGAAAAATCATACAGGTGAAACACCTTATAAATGTGATGTTTGTAGTAAATCATTTACTCAGAGAAGTAATTTGCGAAGGCACATTAAATATCATACGGGAGAGACACCTTATCAATGTGATGTTTGTAATAAATCATTTATTCATAATAGTAATCTACAGCAACACATGAGAATTCATACTAGAGTAGAATGTAAATGAAAAATGAAATGAAATGGGGTTTAACGTCCTACTGTTCTGCTCCTAACCTGGGCTAATGAAGACGGGCATACGCCATACAGTGTGCTATGAGGGAAATTTAGCCCGGACAGCGGCACTACGGCCTACTCTTATATCGAATTCCAACTGCCAAGGGATCTTTTACATGCACGCCAATGTGTACACGGGACCTCGGTTTTTCGTCCCATCCGAACGACTAGACAGCTTTCCTTGTCAGCCCCTCCGTCCTGCATCACTGACAAGGGAGAACCACGCCGGAAAATCTGGATGAACTTTCTCGGCCAATGCAGGGATCGAACACTCGACCTCCAGGCTAGCGAGCTAGCGTCTTACCCACTTAGCCACGTGATCCCCTGGAGTAGAATGTAATGTTTGTAGTAAATTGTTTCCACAAACTGCTAGCCTACAGAGACATATGAGGACTCTTACTGGATAAAAAATGAAAAAAACAATTCGGAAGAACACCCCAGACTTATAACAAAAAGATCAGTGGTCCCCAGATGGTAAAGGAGAGAGAGAGAGAGAAATAGGGTTTAACATCCACTCGACATAAACTAGGTCATTTCGGGAATAACATATGGTTTTAATTTTTTATTTCAATAACTCGCTTGTGCGTAGAGGTCTTTAGTTTAGCAGTGGGAGGAAACCGGAAGACCCGGAGAAAACCCACGAGGTAGATGGTAAAGGCTCTAACAAGCAAAATATAAGACATTTAACCATGTAAACCAGTGCTCACTCTGGGTTTCATTTTTTTTTCACGCCAATTCTATCAGACGTTTACGAAGGCTGTTCAATTTTTCGCTTACGCCCCATCGAATATGATTTGATAATAACTGACTTTTGACAACCCAAAGGATATATGCATTTATAAAATGTAACAACAAACCTGCTGTAATTTATTAAGGAGTAAGAAAAAGATCAAACAGGGGTCATAATCCAATTATCCAAAACAAATTGAACGAGTATTGTTCACGGTGTCCGCCATTTTGAATATATAGAAACCCTCAAGAAAGCCACCGATTCGTATTTGAAGACAAATAATTAAATCTTTCATCTCTTAATTAGTTTATTTCTCTTACTGTAAATACTTATCAACACTATTTTGAGATTGATCAAAAGACAAAAGATATCTCTATTATTGATACCTAAAGATACATTATGTAAGATTTAGATAAAGAGCTGACCATCCTTGCTATAATAGTTCGAAAATAGATAATGTAAAACGAATAATTTGAAAATTTCATTCAAATTACTCTATTGCAAGCGAACATATTAGCCTTTGAAGGTTTGACAAGACATGTGCAATAATTTCAACCACCGTACTGGTTGTTCTAAGCTAAGTCTCGCTCCTCAATTTTTAGCTTAAATCAAAATATGGCTGAACTGTTTTAATCTATTTAATATCGGAGAAATCCCATGCCATCGAGAGTTGATTATGGCCAGGATAAGTTAATTAATGTCTAATTAATAATTTAGAAAACATTTCAGGCCTAAAGAAAGACATGCAATAGACAGATTTAGCTCTAGCATAATGTATGTTTAATTGATTGATACCTGGCTCAGCCAAGCGCAATAGACGGTAACATGTATGGACGGCATGGAAATCAAAGCTTTGTGGCCAGAATTTTTTATCGCCACAGTTAAAAAAAGAATTGCTACACAGGTACAGGAAAAAGTTGTCGCCCAAAATTTCACCAGATTAAATATTTTATCGCCCAAAATTTCACCAGATTAAATATTTCACCAGATTAAATATTTCACCAGATTAAATATTTCACCACCAAAATTATATTTTTGTCGCAATTGGCGGAAATGGCGATCAACAGTGCGACCGTTGATGTAAACCATAATTAAAATAAACAATAATATTTCTTTTATTATAGGAAAACAAAGGAGCGTTCATTATCAACATGCAACTCGTATTTCCACTATTTTTTGTTATCAGGGTGGCTAAGTGGGTAAGACACCGGCTCGCTAGCCCGGAGATCGGGTGTTCGATCCTTGCATTGGCCGAGAAAGTTCATCCAGATTTTCCGGCGTGATTCCCGCCTTTATCAGTGATGCAGGACGGAGGGCCTGACAAGGACAGCTGTCTAGTCGTTCGGATGTGACGAAAAACCGAGGTCGTGTTTACACATTGGTGTGCACGTAAAAGATCTCTTGACAGTTGGAATTTGATATAAGAGTAGGCTGTAGTGCCGCTGTCCGGGCAAAATGTCCCTCATAGCACACTGTATGGCTTATACCCATCTTCATTAGCCCAGTTTGGAGCAGAACAGTAAGATCAATTGTGTTGAGCCAAATAATGGGGTATTAATTAAAGGAGCTAAATCTCTCTTTTTTGGCACATTGAAATGGACACAAATGAGTTGCAATGCATATAATGATGTATTATGAATATATATAAAGTGATTTACATTAAATTGTTTCTGTTACTTTTTTTTAACGAAGCTTTCGTGATTCCCCAGTGCGATCTTTAAACCTTATTTCAATGTGACATTAAATTATTCCCCTACCATTATGAATATTGCAACAGTGCACCAGAGCAACTAATCTAACTGGATGTTGGCGCTCAATAAATGTCCATTATTATTATTACTTGTAATCAGTTATGTTTGGCAAAGAGTTCAAATCGAATGGCAATCTTTGACCTCTGGTTATTCCAGTCTACATTGGTAGTATTCTCCTGTGGGTTGTGTTTAGCCTCTTTCATCGAGTCACTTTAGTCCAAAAGCATTCTGGCATGGCATTCATATGCAAATTGTAAAATTTTCATTTTGTCTTAAATATTGGATATCAGAAGTCCCTTAAAATTGACCAATAAGTCGTGTTGGCAATATTGAAGACTGTGGATGATACTGAGTTACAGACTTGCCTCCTTTAAGTAGTTTTAATGTCAATGATGTCACCTCAGTTAGAATAAACATTAAACTACCAGAAAGCGGTAATATAGGACTAGTCTGTTTCTCAATCATTTCCTGAGAATAAAATATTGTTTGAAGACGTCCCATATTATCCCTCGGAGACGTCTCATATTGTCCCATGAAGATATCCTATATTGTCCCATGAAGATGGATCTTACAATGTATAGCCCGTATTCCAGTAAATAATCTGGTCCATCTAAATGTATTTAGTTCTGTGGTTTGAGATATCACCTTGGTGAAAGTGGGTGTTAGACATAAATACCCACACTAATCAGCAGTACATATTTGCTTAGCCGCTTACGTAGGTCTAGGGGGGTTGAATGTCCGAATGGTTAGCACGCGTGCGCTGTATCATACAGTCTAATTTTATTTCAATAATTCGCTTGCGCGTAGGGGTCTTTAGCAGTGGGAGGAAACCGGAGGACCCCAAGAAAACCCACGAGGCTGGACAGGCGGCCCTCCTCATTGTCACGTACAACCGGGGATTCGAAACCACACCAGTTGACTCAATGACAGGCCTTATGATACAGCGCGCAAATGCTAACCATTCGGACATCCAGCCCCCCCTGATCTGTGGGGAGACAGCAATAGATAACATATCAAAAAGCTAAATCTATTTGTTAAGGCCAGCTCAATTTTCCTCAAGGTCGCTGAGATGTAAATAAAGTTAGGGCACGTGATTGTTGGCGAGATTGTAGGTTAGGGTAAGCATTAGGGCTAGGTCCAGGGTTAGGGTTGGGATGAGCGCTAGTCCTGTTTACATCTCGTGACCTTTGATCAAACTTGAACTTGGCCTTATCAAATAGATCTAACCATATCAAAGCCGAAAATAGTATTTCCAAATACCCTCTTGAAACACCAACACTGATTGATCAAAACCACTTGAATGAACCCTGACTCGGCATTCCACTAAGGTCATCAAAAAAAAAATGAAACGAAATATAGGTCTGTATTTTGATGAGATTGGGTAAACTGTCAATTATCCATAGAACTGAGAGTATTTAGAATTAATATTTCATCCTGCAATTACAACATGATATTGTTTGCATTTTTATCAATCAATATCTACAGCCCAGTTTTCAATTGTGAGTTGTTCGTGTTGGTATGATCCACGTCAGAAATCTATATTCAACTACCTCTGTGCCGGAAGTAGAAATAGCCACGATGATCAGCAGTGAATATGCGCGAGGCAGCTATAACAATACCTTTGTGAAACAGATTAAAACATAACATAAAAGGAAGTGGGATTTTTATCTTTTAAATCAACATTTCTTCAGGATAATGGTAAGTAGTTTTTACACGATAAGAAAATAACAATATATGAAATAAAGTTTACATAGTATAATATAGTTCCTCCCGAACGGATCAAGCTTGGCCATTCTTATTAATGGTACGGGTTTCAGGTCAAAGTTCAAAATGACAGAAAATTTTTTTTTTTTAATATTTTGTGAAAATATACATAAAATGCTACCCCCAAAATTACATTGCATCAAAATATTCTCATTAGATCCAAAGTTATGGAATTTTAAAATCCGATATCGATGTGAATAATGCAATTAAAATGCTCTATATAAAACAGTCAATGCGTGCCATGGCGATTACATGTGATTTCGGTCCCGCGTCATTTCGGACTTATGTCATTTTGGACTCTCAAAAATATGTCCTCGACATTTCGGACTCGGGTAGGTGACGTTTCGGACTTGGGTAGATGACGTTTCGGACTCGAGTAGGTGACGTTTCGGACTCGGGTATAGAACATGGAATTATAGAACACTGACATCAATTTACTTTATAAACTATTTTATTTATTAATATAACATAAAACAATAACAGCGATTTATGACAACGGGCATATTAATTTGATGATATAATAGCCTCAGTCGGGTATTCATTTATTGTATAAAACATACATTTAAATTCATACATTAAAATAGCATACAGCGATTTATAACAACGGGCATATTTATTTGATGTAATAATAGCTTTAGTCGGGTATTCATTTATTTTATAAAACATACATTTATTTTATTTATTTTATAAAACATACATTTATTTTATCAGTTTCATTTTATTTTTTCAGTTTTCCAATTATTTTAAATATTTTTTCACTTTTCTTTATTGTGCAAGTGGGCCGTACAAATGGCTGGGTTTTTTTTTAATAGCCTACTCGTACTAATATCTTGGTTTATATATACATCCCACAGTTGTAATAGTCGGCCCTCTATATTATGATACCGGCTTCTCTGGTGCCGTCTCATTGAGCTCTCCGACATCATGGTAATGTTGAGGGGTATCTTTTCTGCCTCTGAAAATAACTCACAGTTAAGTAAATAAAATGACACCGGACTCCTGGCGTTGACTCAATCGACAAAAGGAAGGTAGCAGTGGTTTTTTTTCTCAATCGTTTCTTAACGGCTTTAAGAATCGCCGATCAATTGACCATTTACTCAGATTAAATACAACAATCGCCAATCAATTAAATAGAGATTAAATAATCTCGTCTTGGTTTCACTATATTATCATATACCTGACAATAGATAATGCACAGTTGTATATCTGTTTGATTTTTTGGGAAAAAATTAGCTGAATAGCTACATATATAAATCTATAAACAAATATAAAATGTATTGTCCATGCATATTGTTAATTGTACATATTATAATTTTGTATACGTGTATATTTGTAAATAAATAATGCTATTAAAAAAAAAATAAATAAATAAATACAGTATTCGCCGATCAAGTAATATTGGTTTTACTTCAAGTTCAAGGTCTGTATGGGATAAATAAAACACAACTAACAATGTTTAATTTCTTTATTGTTGTGAATGGTCTGTCTTTGGCCTCATCTGAAACGAAAGAATAAACAGTGCAGTGCGTAAGGTCTGTATGGGATAAATAAAACACAACTAACAATGTTTAATTTTTTTATTATTGTGAATGGTCTGTCTTCGGTCCCATCTAAAACGAAAGAATAAACAGTTATTACAAATACATACATAGAAGTTTTCAGCTTTTATTGAGTCCGTAATTGAGTCAGAAACGTCGCCAGTCCGAGTCCGAAAAGTCGCCATACTGAGTCAAAAAAGTCGCCAAGTAAGTCCGAAAGGTCGTCAAACTGAGTCCGAAACGACGTTGTGTTGACTCCGAACTTATGCGGGACCGAAATGACATGCTACCGCCATGGCACCAAAAGTGCTTTTCAGTCATAAGCGGTACTTTACCTTCAGAATCACTAATACCAATTTTAAAACTGAAATCTGCACGTTATAGTCGGCTAAGATTTATATTAAAATCGTAAATAATTTGAATGATAATATGTCAAATATTTATAATCTGGATGATACCACAAAAAAAGTAGGCTGTATTTAGTCGAAATTTAGCAAATTTCAGTCAGCAAAACAGCAAAATCCAGTTTTCTACAGCTGTAATTGCCGTAGCTTGGGGTATTACGCACCATAATAATCACAAAAATGTTATCTATCGTTTGATTGGCTCTATGTTAAAATCCCCCGGAAACTAAGGTGTGGATTCACCAATGAAGTGAGCCGTAGCAATTCGCGTTGATGGAAAATCCGCGGCCGCATGACATCAGAGCGGTATTTTCCCCACGAGCGTCTTCCATACATAAACGGTAATTTCGCTTACATTTCGATAATCTGTGCAGATATTGAGATTGATATTAAACTAGTAATACATATACATAAAATATTAATTCAGAATCATGGATTAAAGTGGGCTACATTTCAGCCGCTGGTTTCCAGATTTCATGCTAAAATCACGTGACCTGAAACCCCTACATGTACCAACCAAATTTTATTTTTTGAGCAATTGCTTTGAAATCTGGCAGAAATAATAACTCAAATATTAGAATTTTAAAACCGTTAAATTTTTAGAATCAGACTTATACTTTTTTTAATATTCAATTTTTATTAATTTTGTTTTTTTCAGTCCGAAATCGGAATCTGGTCCAAAAGTGGTAATTTGACTTTAGTGCAATGTAAACAAATTATTTTTCAATGAAACTTGGTAGAATAACAGTTTGGTTGCTCCTTATTAAATTCACAATCATTCTGGTAACAAATAAGACCCCCTTTTTGCAGGAAAAGTGGTTATCAATGAACAGGGTTAGGCTTAAATTTGATGATTGTTTGTTATTTCTCCTTTTAAACATTTCCTCCAATCACACAAATCCTAAAATATGTGTTTCAAGCGTGGGAAAAGAAAGATATTTGGAGAGAGGGAATTGAGCGGAATATCACAGTGAAATCCTAGCGATTTCTTAGTGTTTTTTCTGCTGCGTTCACGAAATTTTGATCCAAAAATTTGAGACAAACTGTATGTCATGCTAGCAGATTTAACAATGTACAAAAGCCAATTACATTCTCTACATGTACAGAATGTAACTCAACAAAATTAGCAGCAACCGTACAAGAATATAGTCCCAAAATATCCCAAATAAAGTCCAATTAGCCTACATATCTACTTTCTAATGATGTTATAATGTTTATATATTACAGGAAACTAATGATGTTATAACTTTTATATTTTACAGGAAACTAAAATACATGTTAAAGAAGAGAAAGCTGATGATATTGAAACAGTTTATCAGTGTAATTTGTGTGATGAAGAATTTAAATTAGAAACTGATTTAGAAAAACACTGTGAAATACATGTTACTGAAATGAAAACTGATGATGTTGATGAAAATTTGATCGATCAATATGAAAAAACTGACGATGTTGAAAAAGGTTTAGAAGCAGCCGAGTTGATTTCATGTGATGTTTGTAATAAATCATTTAGTCAGAACAGTGATCTTCAGATTCACATGAGAATTCATACTGGGGGAAAACCTTATAAATGTGATGTTTGTGATAAATCATTTACTCAGCGTCGTAATCTGAAGATACATCTAACAACCCATACGGGCGAGACACCTTATAAATGTGAAGTTTGTAGTAAAGCATTCGCTGATGTCAGTTTTCTACAAAAGCACATAAAAATTCATATAGAAGAAAAACCTCATAAGTGTGATGTTTGTAGTAAATCGTTTGGCGAAAATCATCTTTTACAGGCACACATTACGACCCATACGGGGGAAAAGCCGTATAAATGTAACGTTTGTGATAAATCATTCGCTCATAATAGTAGTCTACAGAAACACACGATAATTCATACCGGATTGAAATCTTATAAATGTGATGTTTGTGGTAAATCATTCGCACACTGTGGCTCACTACATAATCATATTAAAACCCACACTGGTGAACGACCATATGAATGTGGTGTTTGTAGTAAGTCGTTCCGAGATAGCGGTGGTCTTCAGTCACATATAAGGTCTCATACCGGGGAGAGACCGTATCCATGTAATGTTTGTAGTAAATCGTTTTCTACCTGTGCAGGTAAACAGAGACACGTTAGAACCCATAGCGGTGAAAAACCTTTTAATTGTGATGTTTGTGATAAATCATTTACACAGAAGAATAATCTACGGAAACACATGATAAAACATACTAACGTGAAACCTGGCCCCCCAGTTCAAAAAGCATTCGCAGACTTAAGTTAAGAGTTTACGCAACTTTTAATCTCCAACCTAGTGGGTTTTCTCCGGGTCCTCCGGTTTCCTCCCACTGCTAAAGACCCCTACGCGACAGCGAATTATTGAAATAAAATTAAACCGTATGTTATTCCGAAATGACCTAGTTTGTGTCGAGTGGACGTTAAACCCCATTTCTCTCTCTCTCTCTCTCTCTCTGCAACTTTCAATCACTGTTTATGAGAAATATCTGTGATCCAAAAACACAAAACTTTGCATATAGTTTCTTATTGATGTATTTGATTCGTTAAAACAACAAAAGATCTATAAAGGGCTATAATTTTAATTAAAATAAGGCGAACAATTTTTAGTAAATTCTTAACTTCAGTCTGAGAATGCTTTGTGAATTTGGGGCCTGATAAATCAGTAATCAATGAAAACTCACACGGTTTCCTCCCACTGCTAAAGACCCCTACGCGCAAGTGAATTATTGAAATAAAATTAAACCATGTGTTAGTCCTGAAATGACCTAATTTGTGTCAAGTCATGTGAACGTTAAACCCCATTTCTCTCTCTCTCTATCTCTATATCAGAGATTTGAGTCGAATAATTTTTGTTCAGCGACAGCTAAATTTACCGATTGAACTATTGATATTTGCTCCCAATGCAAATATCAGAGATTTGAGTTAAAGTATTTTCGTTCCAAGCAAGTTTCAACGATGGCCAAATTTACGGATTTAAGTACTAATGTCTCCTCCCAATGCATCCAGGCGTAAAATTTACTTGATGTCAGCACTAACAAACACTGAGATTTTATTAAGCGGTCACTCCCGTTAAGCAGTCAGTCGAATGGCTGCTTACTACAGTAGTAGTATACATACATCCCATACAGGAAGCCACAGTGGTTAAGTGAGTAAGACGCTAGCCTGGAGGTCGGGTGTTCGATCCCTGCATCGGCCAAGAAAGTTCATCCAGATTTTCCGGTGTGGTTCCCCCCTTGTCAGTGATGCAGGGCAGAGGGCCTGACAAGGACAGCTGTCTAGTCTTTCGGATGATATGGAAAACCAAGGTCCCGTCTATACATTGGCGTGCATGTAAAAGATCCCTTGACAGTTGGAATTCGATAAAAGAGTAGGCCGTAGCGCTACAGTCTGGGCACACTGTATGGAAATGAAATGAAATGAAATGGAGTTTAACGTCCTACTGTTTTGCTCCAAACTGGGCTAATGAAGACTGGCATACGCCATACAGTGTGCTATGAGGGAAATTATATCGAATTCCAACTGTCAAGGGATCTTTTCACGCGAATTTTTTTTATTTACAACCCTTACTGGAGAAAAAGCTGAATATTTGTGGTAAATCATTTTCTCATAATAATATTCTAGAGACACACATGGTAATTCACACGGAATAAAATAAAAATCTTATAAATGTGATCTTTGTGATAAATCATTTTGTCAAAATCGTGGAACACATAAAAACTTATACCATAATAATGTGTTGGTTTTTTTTTAATAAAATTTTTTTTTTGTGCTTGTGATACAGAGGGGATTTAGTCAAATACATTGTTGAAAACTTGGTCTTCGACTTAAAGAGTCCCCCCCCTCCCCAAACTCAATCGTATTCAGAAGTGACCTAATCTGCCAATTACTGTGTCTTTAAGGAAAAGCCCAGTCGATAAAACAGCCAAAGCAATGCCATATAAGATACTTCCACATTTTGCAAAAGTTGGATTATTGTCTTGATTTACTGTATGTTTGTTCAGAATAATGCATGAATTATGCTTGATGCAGAGAAGCTAAACATTTCTATTGCCCGTGTGTAACCGGGAGTTTGTTTTTATATGTGGTTGATTATCCAGTACATTTAGGAAAGGGGGTCACGGTGGCTATGTGGGTAAGACACTGGCTCGCTAGTCTGGAGGTCGGGTGTTCGATCCCTGCATTGGCCGAGAAAGTTCATTCAGATTTTCCAGTGTGGTTCACCCATTGCCAGTGATGCAGGATGGAGGGCCTGACAAGGACAGCTGTCTAGTCGTTCGGATGGTATGAAAACCTGGGGTCCCGTGTACACATTGGCGTGCACATAAAAGATCCCTTGACAGTTGGAATTCAATATAAGAGTAGGCCGTAGTGCCGCTGTCCGAGCACACTGTATGGCATATGCCCGTCTTCATTAGTCCAGTTCAAAACAGAACAGTAGGACGTTAAACCACATTCCATTTCATTTTTTTCATTTACAACCCATACTGAAGAAATAACCTGAATATTTGTGGTAAATCATTTGCTCATAATAATAGTCTAGAGACACACATGGTAATTCACACTGGTCAGGGGTTCGATCCCTGCATTGGCCGAGAAAGTTCATCCAGATTTTCCGCTGTGGTTCCCCCTTGTCAGTGGTTCAGAACGGAGGGCCTGACAAGGAAAGCTGTCTAGTCCATCGGGTGATACAAAAAACAGAGGTCCTGTGTATAAATGGGAATGCACGTAAAAGATCCCTAGTTGGAATTCGATATAAGAGTAGTAGGCTGTAGTGCCACGGTCCGAGCAAAATTTCCCTCATAGCACACTGTATGGCGTATGCCCGTCTTCATTAGCCCAGTATAGGAGCAGAACAGTAGGACGTTAAACCCCATTTCATTTCATTTCATTTCATTAGCCTGGTTGATGCAGACAGTAAATAAATGTTTTGTTCAAGTAGATTTCATATTTTGGTCAAATGTATATCCATTTTAAAGAAGCTAAATCTCTATTCTGTGGCACCTAGAAATAAATACAAATACGTTGCAACATACATGTATATAGTAATGTAATATGTGCAAGCCAATTATTGAAATAAAATTGAACCATATGTTACTCCCGAAATGACCTAGTTTGTGTCTGAGTGGACCTTTAACCCCATCTCCCTCTCTCTCTCTTCTCTCCTCATTACAGCAAACATTAAACTACCAGGTAGAGGCTTAAAACATTCACAGGGTCGTGCTGGTTAATTTGATACCACATATGCGAGGAAAGTGATTAGGACGAACATATATTTCACACACCCAAACGTACATAGTCTATAAGAGCCACGGTGGTTAGGTGGTTAAGACATGGTGGCTAGGTGGTTAAGACGCTGGCTCGCTAGTCTGGAGGTCGGGTGTTCGATCCCTGCATTGGCCAAGAAAGTTCATCCAGATTTTCGGCGTGGTTTCCCCTTGTCAGTGGTGCAGAACGGAGGGCCTGACAAGGACAGCTGTCTAGTCCTTCGGACAAAACGAAAAAACCAAAGTCTCGTGTATATATTGGAATGCACGTAAAAGATCCCCTGGGGCAGTTGGAATTCGATATAAGAGTAGGCGTTAGTGCCGCTGCTTGGGCTAAATTTACCTCATAGCACACTGTATGGCGTATGCCCGTCTTCATCAGCCCAGTATAGGAGCAGAACAGTAGGACGTTAAACCCCATTTCATTTCATTTCACATAGTCTATAGTCTGGATATTCTAATTAATCTGGTTTTATAGACCCCTACACTGATTAACAGTACATAATCACTAGGCTGCTTCAACCATGGGCATGGATTTAGGTGGGGGTGGGGAGGACAGGTCCCCCCCCCCTTAGAATCGAAAGGGGGGGACGAATAGGTCTCTGTCTACCCCATGATTTGGATCGTCAGGACAGATTTTCAGGTTTATATCCACATGAATGTCCCATTCTGAAGGCTATCTAACCCCTGCCTTTTGTCTCACCACAGTAATTCATCTTCATGATATCTTCCTCCTTAATTGTAGGTAGTCAATTTTACGATATCGTCATCATATTACCAGCTTTCATCGAAATAACACTGGTAAACTGTTCGTAATTATTACTTTGATTTGGTAATGAAAGGTTCCAGGGTTCGTCCGTCCCCCCCCCCCCCCCAAAGTTATGACAAATCCACACCCTTGGCTTCAACCAGACGATTAGCTCTCAATATTAACTTTTTTCTTCTGGAAATTAAATTAGATTCTAAAACAATTTTTAACATTATTGATCATAAAAATAAAAGTGTTGGAAGTATAACTGGATAAACAATATTTGGTATTTAGTGTAAATGCATAAAAGGATAAAAAGTAATCAATTCAGCCCAGACTGGTTTGTACATGTATATGTGGTGTCACATGTAGACACATACTGCACGTGAACTTAATGGTCATTCATCTTGTAATTATTAAAGATATATTATGGGAGATGTGATAAAGAGTTGGCAGTTCTCACTATAATATCTTTTTTGAGCGGCATTTAGCAATTGACATACGTAATATGGAACACAATTACTATTTTAATTAAAGCGACGTTTCGTTGATGGTTCTCTCAACATTTTTAAGCAAATGATAATGAAACTAATGTACAGAAGGTTTATATACAAAAACAAGTAACAACTAATTCATCTTAATCAATAGGGAAACCATTTAATATATTAAGTCAATCTTCCATGTAGGAATAAGAGCTTATGAAAGCATATAAACAAAATATATAACAACTAGTTATAGCCAATAAACTATTTGGGGAACCACTAATCATAGTAAAGTTACCCTCAACGAAAGGGACAATAACACTCTTGCTGGCTTGAAAGCTCCAGAAAATAAATAATAGCCTTATTCTAAGTACTAGATGTTTTTGTGTTCTACCTGTTGTGTAAATTATCCATTACATCCTATTTTACTTGTCCAGCGGGTTCGAAAATATTTTTAAATCGAAGTTTCATTTGAAAAGGTTTACGTTAGACGTTTCAAACCATTATGTTGAATTTTTCAAAATTTTTAAATAAGGTGTGTTAAGATGAAATTTGTATCATCAATTAATTGAAATATTCTAAAATAGTACAGTTTGTTGACCAGAATAAAGATTGGGACATATTATTCAGTTACAACAAGAGTGGTATTGAGCCTTTAATTAAAATAGTAATTGTGTTCCATATTATGTTTTCTCACTATAATAGTTAAAAACTAGATAATGTGAAGGGAATTTGATGAAAATTTCAGTCAAATTGATCCACTATGAGCCGAGTATTTAGCGATAGAATTTTAGGCCTAGCCTCAATCATCATTACTAAAGTTGGTACGATAAAAAACTTGCGATGATTTAATCGTTAATGAATGTTGGGTAGCTGATCAGGTTCTAATCCAGTAATTATTGCAGGCTAGCAATGCCAGATGCCATCTAGAGTTATAATAAATGAAATGAAATGAAATGGGGTTTAACGTCCTACTGTTTTGCTCCGAACTGGGCTAATGAAGACGGGCATACGCCATACAGTGTGCGATGAGGGAAATTTTGCCTGGACAGCGGCACTATGGCCTACTCTTATATCGAATTCCAACTGCCAAGAGATCTTTTACGTGCACGCCAATGTGTACACGGGACCTCGGTTTTTCGTCTTCTCCGAATGACTAGACAGCTGTTCTTGTCAGGCCCTCCGTCCTGCATCACTGACAAGGGGGAACCATGCCGGAAAATCTGGATGAACTTTCTCGGTCAATGCAGGGATCGAACACCCGACCTCCAGGCTAGTGAGCCAGCGTCTTTCCCACCTAGCCACCGTGACTCCCAGGGTTATAATAATATTTTTATTAGGGTAAGAGATTAGGCTAGAGTTGATTATGGGCTGGATAAGTTAATTAATGCCTAATTAATAATTTAGAAAACATTTCAGGCCTAAAGAAAGACCAGCAATAGACAGATTTACCTCTTGTATAATGTATGTTTAATGTCACCTGCAGATTTCGTCAAGGTCACGAGATAAAAGAGAAAAACGAAAAAAAAAAAAAATCTGTATTTTGATGAGATTGGGTAAACTGTAAATTGTCCTTAGCACTAGTAGTATTTAGAATTAGTATTTCATTCTGCGATTATAACATGATATTGGTTGCATTTTTATCAATCCACATGCACAGCTCGGTTTTCAATTGTGAGTTGTGCATGTTGGTATGATCCGCGTCAGAAATCAATATTCAACTGCCACTGAGGCGGAAGTAAGCATAGCCACGGTGATCAGCAGTGAATATACGCTAGCAGCTATAACAATACCTTTTTGTCTACGATATCACCTTAGGTGGAAGTGGACGTAAAACCCCAGAAACGAACGAACGAACGAACAATACCTTTGTCAAACAGATTAAAAGATAACATAAAAAGAAGTGGGATTTTTATCTTTTAAATCAACATTTATTCAGGATAATGGTGAGTTGTTTTACACATTAAAAAAATAACAATATTTTGAATAACAATTGCTGTTTTATTAACACAATAAAATATAGTTCCTTCCGAACGATCAAGACCTCTTGACCATTCTTATTAATGGTAGGGGTTTCAGGTCAAAGTTTCAAATGACAGAAAAACATTTTTTAAAAATATTTTGTGAAAATATACATAAAATGCTACCCAAATTTTTTATTTCATCAAAATATTCTAATTAGATCCAAAGTTATGGAATTTTAAAATCTGAGATCGATGTCAATAATGTAATCAAAATGCTCTATACCAGTCAATGCGTGGCATGGCACCAAAATAAGTGCTTTTCAGTCATATTTGAGTGACGTCATAAGCGGTATTTTCCCTTCAGAATCGCTAGTACCAATTTTAAAACTGAAATCTGCACGTTATTGTCAGCTAAAATTTATTAAAATCGTAATAATTTGAATGATAATATGTCAAATATTTATAATCTGGATGATACCTCAAGAAAGTTTTTTTATATTTAGTCGAAATTTGGCAATTTTCAGTCATCAAAACAGGTAAATCCCATTTTCTCCGGGTCTAATTGTCCGATCACGTGATATCAACAAGCATAATAACCACAAAAATGTTAGCTATCATTTGATTGGTTCTATATCAAAATCCCCCGGTAACTAAGGTGCGGATTCACAAATGAATTGAGTCGTAGAATGGAAAATCTCAGGCGGCGTGACGTCAGAGCGGTATTTTCCCGCGAGCGTCTCATGTAAACAAACGGTAATTTCGCTTACATTTCGATAATTTTTTAGCCTGAATCTTTGCAGATATTGAGATTGATATTAAACTATTGCAATACAATCGTTAGTAATGCATTTACATAAAATAGTAATTCAGAATCGTAGATTGAAGTGGGCTATATTTCAGCCGCTGGCTGTCCGATTTCACGCTAAAGTCACGTGACCTGAAACCCTTATTAATAATGGCGAACGAATTTTCAAACAATTCGAGGATATTGAAATAAAAGAAATTGTTTAAATAAAACGAACTTGCAATAATACTCAAGCTAATCCTACATTAGCAACTAATATTCTTTAGGCTGTAAATATTATATTTCAGGTCTTTCTTTAGGCCTGAAATGTTATATAAATTATTAATTAGACATTGATTAACTTACCAAGATCATAAAATCAACTCTCCACGGCAACGGATGGCTACGATATTAAGTACATTTAAATACATTTTGCGGTTGATGTGGTTACTGTAAAAATGGATAATCATTATTGTATTTATTATCGTAACAATTGTATCAATGATTATTAGGGGTGACTATAGTTAGGTATGACAAAAAAAAATTCAAAAATCCTGTATGGCTTTAATTCTGTTATTTCTGGATAGGGCTGTCCGACAGCTTTACAATGACACCAAAATGAGCTTGAAAGGCCCTTTATTAATGGAGTTATGCCAAATTAATTGTCGCTAATTAACGCTCTTTTTGTCTGAAGAACAAAGAAGGAAAAGTGAGGCCATCGCGCGCAGTCGCTAGCGGTAAAATTTCTCTAACTTTCTTACATGGCGGTCACGGCGAAACTTGATCAAAAATTTCCCGCACCTACCGATTTCATTGAAAACTCGCAGAATGAAAGTTTAATATATGTATTTTCTAATTTATATATTTTTAACCCTATGCTATTCTGGTATCCGTCCCAAAAATCGTATTGTTTTCTACTTTTATTTTCATGTTTAGATTTCTCTGCACACGGAGCAGCTAGAGTAAAAATTCGAAAACGAGGCGAAAAGCTAGCCTTTTATTTACGACGATAACCTCATTTGAAGCTGCAGTTTCGTACCAATCAACAATACGACAAGGAAGAAAAGCTGATACGCAAATCGCGCTGGCGTATCTGAAGCGTGACTCGCGACGACGAAATTATGTCAGCGGTTCACCGCTTCACTGGCGTACCTACTATAGTTAGAAATATTGATACTATTGCTATTGGGTGAACAGCTATTGCAACACTATTACTATTGGGGATTAAATATTGCGATACTATTGGACTATTGGGGATTAAATATTGCGATACTATTGGACTATTGCGAAAGTTTGATTTGTTTATTAGTTTACTTTGTCTGCAGGATGACATCGACCTACATGTACTGCCAAAATGACCTGACCTGAGTGACCGTTGAGAATCGGATTTGACAGAGAGCGCTTACATTTCGGCAGGATGTTTTCTATTAATATGGTCCATTAAATTATTAAAGTATTTCAGTGTCATTTTGGCAGATTAAACAACCAACACATTTTTTGTCAATAATTTCACAAAGCCGAAAGGATTCCATACTTTTGATTTAGTTTTATCGTTTTTTTTACAACCTCGAATTCTGCCATCTTTAAACAAATCAGAATGCACGATAAACTAGTTATATTTCCGCGATTCTCATAAACGAAGGAACTGTCTAGACTGATCGAGAAACGGATACAGACTTTTAATCCCTAATAAAAACACAATCTCGAACACTTATTTTGGAAGTAAATATTCGACTAATACGAGAGAATTATTTAGGAATTTGTGCTATTTAATCTTTGCTATTATAACTATCGAAACAATCGATAGTTTGGTTGACTATCGCAATTTTTATCGATAGTTTCTTTTTACTATCGATACAGACTATCGGCAGTCAAACCATCCCGATGCAACGATTGTTCGATTATCGTTACACCCCTATTGACAATCAAGGCTAGACTGTATCGCAATCTGATTACAACACAGATCCAATTTTGTTTCATTTTTATAGTTCAAAATTTCGATTTTACTTGTCTTTACTACACTTGGATCTGGAAGCGTGAAGTAATTTGACTGAAATTTACAAATTATTCTCTTTTTATTAACGACTATTTAACTACAGTATTATAGCGAGAACTGTCAGTTTTTTATTTAATTTTACCAAATGCCCCTCTAAATGATTATGGTGCATTTTTTTACATGTTAGCCTATTATAATAACACTTATGTAAGTTGATTAAAGAGAGAGAGAGAAATGGGGTTTAACGTCCCCTCAACACAAACTAGGTCATTTTGGGACTAACATATGGTTCAACCCCATTTATATCTCTCCCTCTCTCTCAAAAAAAAAGAAGGTATTTCCCTGGGCGGGAAGGCTATGTTTTTATAGAGAATGGCTTGCATAATTTGTATTATACATGTCTACAATAGAAGATCAGATTGTATTCATAACCTTGATTGATCAACCTTGTCATGTTTAACGGAGCTAAATCGCTAATATTTGGGACCTAGAAATTGACACAAATGGGTCGCAACGCATATAATAATGTAATGTGAATGTGTATAAACTGATTTACATTCAACAGTTTCTGTTTTTACTGTAATTTCTAATTACAGTGGACTCTGTCACATCCGACATCGTACGGGATCGTTACAATATTTCGGATCACACAGCGTGTCGGAATACCGAGCTTTCTCCAAAACCGGAAATACTGTAACTTCGAAAACCGGAAGTATTTTTATATTGTAGCTTCGAATCACCAGAATGCTATTCCCTTTAAAAATGATAAACTTTTCTGTACTTTCAAAATTTTATTACATTAAAGATACATTATGGGAGATAAGATACACTGATGGCAGTTCTCGCTATAATAGTTAAAAAATAGATAGTGTAAAGGTAATTTGCTGAAAATTTCAGTCAAATTGATCCACTATGAGCCGAGAAAGAAGCGGGTGAAATTTTTGCATAGTCTCGGTCATCATTACTAAAATCATTAATATAAACAGCATAGTCTCGATTATCCACTTTTTCTGATTTAATTATCAATGGCCGTTAGCGGCATATAGGAATCTAATCCAGCCAACATCGAAGGCTAGCCTTGACATCGAGAGTTTATTATGGTCTGGATAAGTTAATTAATGTCTAATTGATAATTTAGATAACATTTCAGGCCTAAAGAAAGACTTGTAGTAAGCAGATTTTGCTCTTGCATAATGCATGTTTAAATAATTAACAATAACAATGCATGCGTACAATATATTCATAAAATCATTTACATGTAATATCAATGCATGCGTACAATAAATTTATAAATATCAATTGAATACTTAACGGCTAATTCCTTCTGCGCAGGTCGTGGAATTTTCTTGAAATCTGCTATAAGTTGCCGCCTTACATCTAATGTCAAATCTGTTCGGGCACGCTTTGCAGGACGTTCAGACATTTTGAATACAATAATGAATAATGATTCTTCAATCGCGGCAATTTTTATATAATGTCGCGGTATTTGACATGAGTAACTAAAATCAAATACAAAGTGCACTCTTACAAGAGATTATAAATTGTAAAATAATCAACAAAGAATTTATAACATTATCAAAGTAATCAACACAGACCGGCGCTTGCGAGTTTTAATCTCACCGATAATTGATTGGTGATTGCTTGTTAATCTTTTCTGGCTTCACACCCATTGAGTTTTAATCTCACCGATAATTGGATGCTTCACACCCACCGTTTGAAGTACTGATTATACGGTGTCGATTCAATGGAAATTATGTGACAGGACGGCTGATTGATGTCGCAATCCGGAACATACAGAATCCGGATTTATCAGCGATTTTTGGGCTGAAGTAACAAGGAAATAAATCGGGACATGAAAATCATGTCGGATGTCACAGCAATCCGGAGTGATCAGACATCGGATGTGACAGAGTCCACTGTAGTTATGTTCGGCGAAATACCTCAGAAGTCTCAATTAATAGCAATATTTAGCGTCTGGTTGATTTGAATTGAAAAATAATTCGCGTTTTCAATGTCGAAGATTTTTGATGATATTGAGTTAGAGACTTAGCTACTTTAAATAGCCTTGTCTTTTGGCTGTGTATTTGAGACAGTTGGAGTAACAAGAATCAAAAAATATTTCCCAGTAATTTGTACGCATCTGCCCAAGCAAATGATAATAATGCACACATATCACTGTTGTTCCGTCATGCGGTGTATACTGTATTTGACTTTACATGTATATATAAATGAAATAGGGTTTAACATCCTACTTGGGTGCTTTGACTGGACTAATAAAGATGGGAATACGCCATACAGTGTGCTGTGAGGAAATTTTTGCCAGATCAGTGCCGCTGCGACCTACTCTTATTGCACACTGTTTTAACCATTGATGTTATGATTTTTTTATTACAGGAAGCTAATGATGTTAAGACATTTATATATTACAGGAAGCTAATGATGTTAAGACATTATATATTACAGGAAGCTAATGATGTTAGAACCTTTTTATATTCCAGGAAACTGGTGATGTTAAAACCCTTCATCAATGTGTTGTATGTGATCAGATCTTCCAGCAATTTGATGATTTAGAACAACACAATAAAATACACGTAAAAGAAGAGAAAACAGATGTTGTAGAGAAATATTGTCATGTTAAAGAAGAGAAAACTGATGATGTAGATGAATATTGTCATGATAATGAAGAAAGAAATGATGTCGAGGAACATTGCCCTGTTCAAGAAGAGAAAACTGATGATGTAGATGAATATTGCCCTGTTAAAGAAGAGAAAACTGCTGATGTAGATGAATATTGTCATGATAATGAAGAAAGAAATGATGTCGAGGAACATTGCCCTGTTCAAGAAGAGAAAACTGATGATGTAGATGAATATTGTCATGTTAAAGCAGAGGAAACTAATCATAAAGAATTATGTGCAGAATCTGAAAAAAACGTTGTTTCTAAAACAAATAAAAATTTGCCATGTGGGGTGTGTGGTAAAATATTTCAACGAAGGAATTATCTTCACATTCATATGAGAATTCATACGGGTGAAAAACCTTATAGATGTGGTGTTTGTAATAAATCATTCAGGGATAAAGTTGGTCTACAGCTACACACGAGACTTCATTCCGGTGATAAACCTTATAAATGTGGTGGTTGTAGTAAATCATTTACTCAGAGCAGTATTCTACAGATACACATGAGAATCCACACAGGTGACAAACGTTATAAATGTGATGTTTGTGGTAGATCATTTATTAACGGCAGTTCTCTACAGGCACACATGAGAATACATACTGGTGAAAAGCCATGTCTGTGTCATGTTTGTGGTAAATCTTTCTCTACGATTGGCGGTCTACAGTCACACATGACAACTCATGCAAGGGAAAGACCGTATAAATGTGATGTTTGTAGTAAATCGTTTATTCAGCATAATCATCTAAAAACACATATGAGAATACATACAGGCGAAAAACCGTTTCAGTGCGATGTTTGTGGTAAATCATTTACATTGAGTTCTACTCTTCAAAACCACTCGCATATTCATAAAGAAAAAAAAACTGATCAGTGTCAGGCAGAATATAATTGCAATATTTGTGGTAAATCATTTGTTTGGAGAACAGGGCTACAGAAACACAAGATAACTCATACAAGAGACACACCTTATAAATGTGATGTTTGTGATAAATCATTTAAGCGGAGTAGTAATCTACGACAACACGCGATAACTCATACCGATAACAAACGTTTTAAATGTGGTGTATGTGGGAAATCTTTTGGCCAGAAATGTACTCTACGAGTGCATGAAAGATTTCATACTGGTGAAAAACCTTATAAGTGTGATGTTTGTAGTAAATCTTTTTCTGATAGTAGCGGTCTTCAGCAACACGGGAGAACGCATACCGGTGAGAAGCCATATAAATGTGATGTTTGTAATAAATCATTTACAAGAATTAATAATGTTAAAAGACACATGAAACAACTTCATACTCGAGAAAAAAACTTACAAGTATGAATTTTATAATTTTATAATTTTATAATTCCAACTGCCAGGGGATCTATTACGTGTACCCCACTGTATACACGGATCATCGATTGTTCGTACCATTCGAACGACTAGACACCTGTCCTTGTCGAGTCCTCCGACCTGCACCACTGACAAGTTGACACCTTGCCAGAAAATCCCAATGAACTTTCTCGGCCTATCGAACACACAACCTCCAAGCTAGCAAGCTGGCGTCTCACCCACTTAGTGAAGGTCATACATAAAACCGTCTGTCATTATGTACATTTTTTTCATTGATTATTAATACTGGAGAAAAAAACCTTACAAATGTATTGTTTGTAGAAAATTATTTTCTAGATTAACATAAATATTCATACTGGAAAAAAAAACCCCTTACAAATGTGTTGTTTATTTTCTAGAATTATTAATTCATACTGGAGACTGGAGTGGTAAATCATTTACTCAGAGTAGTAATCTACAAATACACGTGAGGAAAAACTCTTTTAAATGCAATGTTTGTAGTCAAACACCTTCTCTAGAAACACAGCAAGACTTCATACTGAAAAAACCCTTTTAAATGTGATATTTGTAGTAAATCATACACTCAAAATCGTAGACTAAAAAAAAGCCCACAAGGACGAATACTCTTTTTGTATGTTTTGTTGCCGAGTGAATGGAAAATAACTAAATTCTTATGTGGTGGAATGTGTATTTTACATGTATTTATTGGTGAATGGAAATAAAGAATTATGCATTTTTTTTCTGTTTTTTTTTTCGGGGGCCCTGACAAGGACTGCTGTCTAGTCGTTTAGATGGAAGGAAAACCTGAGATCCCGTGTATACATTGGCGTGTGCGTAAATGATCCTGTGGTAGTTGGAAATCAATGTAAGAGTAAGCCGTAGTGCCGCTGTCTAGGTAAAATTTCCCTATAAATAGCACACTGTATGGCGTATGCCCATCTTCATTAGCCCAGTTCGGAGCACAACAGTAGGACGTTAAACCCCATTTCATTTCATTTCTGTAGTTTTTTTTACATTGTTTTTATAGGCACCACCATTACACATGCAATCAACGGCCTTCTTACCCTGGATATTACGTCACATTTCCCGAGAAATTGCGGCAATGAATTGAAATAGGGTTTACGTCCTACTGTTGTGCTCCGAACTGGAGGTTGGGTGTTCGATCCATGCATTGGCCGACAAAGTTAATCCAGATTTTCCGGCGTGGTTCCCCCTTGTCAGGGATGCAGGACGGAGGGCCTGACAAGGACAGCTGTCTAGTCCTTCAGATGACACGAAAAACCGAGGTCCCATGTTTACATTGGAATGCACGTAAAAGATCCCTTGGCAGTTGGAATTCGATATAAGAGTAGGCGATAGTGCCGCTGCCCGGGCAAAATTTCCCTCATAGCACGCTGTATGGTGTATGCCCGTCTTCATTAGCCCAGCATAGGAGCAGAACAGTAGGACGTTAAACCCCATTTCATTTCATTTAGCCTAATCAATAATCTTGTGTCCTTGAGGAAATATGCATTTGGTCTTGTGAAATAGATCTGACTATTATAGCCTTTATATCAAATGGAGCATTTATTAAGATACAACACATTCTTGGAATATAGGGAGTTAAATAATCGCCTTCATAACCATTTAACGACGATTTAATTGGGGTTTTTTTAATAGTAAGGGAAAATGCACACAGATCAACAGTGAATATTCACTAGGCCGCTACAATCACCGATAAGGATGACATCGATGTGACTTAATGAGTCCCAAATATTAACTTTTCTCCTCCGACAAATTAAATTCTAAAACATTTTTTTTATTAGTAGGTAAAAATTATTTCCTGTTTTAGTGTAAATGGGTATTAAAGTGAGTAAAAGGCGCCATTTTGCCCGAACTAGTAACATCTTATGTAAATAATGCACGCGCCATTAAGCCAATGATTGACCCCGTGTGATGTGATGTTATGTGTTGAAGAAAGTCATCTTTTACAGAGATATTAGAAGACTTTCGTAATCCTCTGTGAAACAGATTGGGGAAAACCGTGTTGTTAATTGTGAGTTGTTCGCGTTTGGTAGATCCACGTCAAAACTTAATATATACAGGAAATGTCCCGTACCGGAAATGGAGTAATGCGCAAGTCCCGTCTTCTTCACGGGTTTATCTTTCATATTAATTATTTCGATTATATTTTGAGTATTGTTGCTGTTGTTTACCGCCAGTCGAGAAGCCGTGTCAACTATTTTCGTCTTTAACAGTCAGCTCAACTAGATACGAATGATCATCGTCGTCAGTCAGCTCAACTAGATTCGATTGATCATCGTCGTCAGTCAGTGATCAGCTAAAAATAAACAATAACCGCTGGCACTGGTGACCAAAAAACATGGTGAGTTGATTAGACATGGTCAGAGTATAATCCGACAAGTTAGATGTTACTCTTTGATATTTTGATGATGTAAAATCTAACATCCAAAATCTCAAAGGCTTGTTTACTTCATTCAGCTACCTGCAAAATTCGCAATTTTCGGTTATCTGCACTGCTAACACATTAAACTTATATATCCAGACCATTTAGTTTAAACAAAACATTTTTTTATTGTCGATTTTACAAGTTTTCTAAAAAAATAAAATTCTGACAATCTACTGCAAAGCATTAGACAGGAATTAAATGACCTTGTTAAAGGCTCAATACCACTCTTGTTGTCACTGAATAATATGTCCCAATCTCTATTCTGGTCAACAAATTGTACTATTTTACAATATTCCAATTAATTGATGATACAAATTTTATCTAAATTTGGGACCTAGAAATTGACAAAAGTGGGTCGCAACGCATATAATACTGTAATATGAATGTATATAAACTGATTTACATTCAATGGTTTCTGTTTTTACTCCAATTTCAAATCAGTTATGTTTGGTGAAATAAGCCAGCAGTCTCAAGCGAGTGCAAATTTCTAGCGTCTGGTTATTCCAGTCTACATACGCCGTTTTATTTGGTGCAATGTGTCTAGCCTCGTCCCTCGAGTCATTTGATACAACTGGGGCTGAAGCGCATTATGTTATACGATTTGTGTACCAATGGTAAAATGTTTATTTTCTGGAGCTGTCAAGCCAGCCAGAGTGTTATTGTCCCTTTAAACAAAACTTGTTTTTATTGTTGATTTTAAAAGTTTTCCAAAAATTCTATACTGACAATCTACTGCAAAGCATTAAACAGGAATTAGTAAATGACCTTGTTGAACTGTGGCAAATTCAAATCCAAAACACGGGATTCCACATAAAATTTATTTGTTTTTCATTTATTTTCAATATAAAGTCATTGACCTTGCTATTGTAGTTGTCTCAAAATATTTATATTTGGTTCTGTGGGTTGGACGGGCAGTGTCGAAAACACTGTAAAATTATATAAAATTGTATTTTGTTGTAGACTTAGCATCTATTAGGTCTCGGTGAATGTGACTTTGGATAAATATGTTTTAATGGACAACCATTGCTTGTCAGTAAGTGTTATTGTTCTTCAATGGCGACTCACACAGTAAGGTAGGACATGCATTTGGAATTTGCCGATTGACATCTTTCAGGTTGTGGGTATTTGATGCACCAACAATCCAGGCGCAATCTGCACGAACTAAATACAGCTTGAAGAATCTTGAGTTTATGTGTGAACAAAACCTCAAGGCACTCTGGAGTATGAGTAGAGCGAAGCTGATTGTTATCAAATATGAAACCTTCGTAATTAAGTTTATCAAGTCATGCAAAAAATGTTAAATGATTTCGTTTGTAATTTGAAACGTATATAAGTATTGGATTAATTTTGTTAAATTTAAAAGATAAAACAAGTGTGAGAAATAATTTCACTGGCGAGATTTTATAGATTTGCCAAGTGTATTCTGTTGAATTTTTATACGCCCACATTTTCATGTGGACGTATTTTGTCGTCGCCCCTGTCCGTCCACAATTGTTTGTGAACAGTCTACAGGTCACAATTATTATTCGATTTCAATGAAACTTGAAATATAGGTTTATCACCCTAAGATCTCGGTTCCTTTCGATATTGGCATGTATCGGACCGTAACTTCATGGATTATGGCCCCTGATTGTACGAAAAATCACGTTTTTGGCTTGTGAACACTGTAGAGGTCACAATTTTTATCCGATTTTGTTGAAACTTGAAATGTTAGTTTATAACACAAAGATCTTGGTTCCTTTCGATATTCGCGCATATCGGACCGTAACTTCATTAATTATCGCCCCTTATTGTACGAAAAATAAATCACGTTTTTAGCTTGTGGACCCTATAGAGGTCATAATTTTTATCCGATTTAAAAAAACGTATTATATCACCGTTAAACCCTAAGGACGGTTGAATTCGCATTTCGTGAAAATCGGCCCAAAACTGACAGACAAAATAATGTTATAACTTTTATATATTACAGGAAAGAATAATGTTATAACATTTATATTTTACAGGAAACTGATGATGTTATAACTTTCCATCAGTGTGTTGTATGCGAAAAAAGGTTTCAACAACTTGATGACTTAGAAAATCACAACAAAGTCCATATTAAAGAAGAGAAAACTGATGATGTTGATGAATATTGTCATGTTAAAGAAGAGAAAACTGATGATGTTGATGAATATTGTCATGTTAAAGAAGAGAAAACTGAAGATATTGAAACCACTTATCGGTGTAATTTGTGTGATGAAAAATTTGAATTAGAAACTGACTTAAAGAAGCACAGTGAAATTCACGTAAAATCCGAAAACCCTGTCTTAATACACGATAAAATATGGGAAGCAAGTTGTAGCCACTATAATGAAACAGATTTACAAAACCAAACAAGTTCTTCGGAAGAGACACAAAAAACGACATTTACAGAGAAATGTAGCCGCTATAATGAAACAGATTTACAAAACCAAACAAATTCTTCGGAAGAGACACAAAAACTAACATTTTCAGAGAAGAGTATGATCTGTGGTTTGTGTGGTAAATCGTTTAATCTGAAATCGAGTCTTCAGAGACACATGAGAATTCACACCGGGGAAAAGCCCTATAAATGTGATGTTTGTGGGAAATCATTCAGAGACACGAGTAATCTACAGCAACATATGAAAACCCACACGGGCGAGAAGCCTTATAAGTGTGATGTTTGTAGTAAATCATTCATAAAAACCAGTCATCTACAGAGTCACATTAAAACACACACAGGCGATAAACCTTATAAATGTGATGTTTGTGGTAAATCATTCACTAGATTAAGTAACCTCAAGGTACATATGAGAGCTCATATCGAAGAGGATTCATTTAAATGTGATGTTTGTGGTAAATCATTTACTTCCAATGCTGATTCTAATAAACACATGAGAACGCATACAGGCGTAAAACCCTATAAATGTGATGTTTGTGGTAAATCATTTAGTCAGAATGGAAATTTACAAATACACAAGAAATCGCATACGGGTGAAAAACCTTACGAATGTGGTGTTTGTAGTAAATCATTTACTCAGAACAGTAATCTTAAAGTTCACATGAGAATTCATACTGGGTGAAAACTTTATAAGTGTGATGTTTGTGGATTTAAAACCTTACGAATGTGGTGTTTGTAGTAAATCATTTACTCAGAACAGTAATCTTAAAGTTCACATGAGAATTCATACTGGGTGAAAACTTTATAAATGTGATGTAGTAAATTATTTTCTGCCATTAGTAATCCACAGAGCCTTAAAGTAATCTTAAAGTTCACATGAGAATTCATACTAGGTGAAAACTTTATAAATGTGATGTTTGTGGATTTAAAACCTTATGAATGTGATGTTTGTAGTAAATCATTTACTCAGAACAGTAATCTTAAAGTTCACATGAGAATTCATACTGGGTGAAAACTTTATAAATGTGATGTTTGTAGTAAATCATTTACTCAGAACAGTAATCTTAAAGTTCACATGAGAATTCATACCGGGTGAAAACTTTATAAATGTGATGTTTGTAGTAAATTATTTTCTGCTAGTAGTAATCCACAGAGCCTTAAAGTAATCTTAAAGTTCACATGAGAATTCATACTAGGTGAAAACTTTATAAATGTGATGTTTGTGGATTTAAAACCTTATGAATGTGATGTTTGTAGTAAATCATTTACTCAGAACAGTAATCTTAAAGTTCACATGAGAATTCATACTGGGTGAAAACTTTATAAATGTGATGTTTGTAGTAAATCATTTACTCAGAACAGTAATCTTAAAGTTCACATGAGAATTCATACTGGGTGAAAACTTTATAAATGTGGTGTTTGTAGTAAATCATTTACTCAGAACAGTAATCTTAAAGTTCACATGAGAATTCATACTGGGTGAAAACTTTATAAATGTGATGTTTGTAGTAAATTATTTTCTGCTAGTAGTAATCCACAGAGCCTTAAAGTAATTTTAAAGTTCACATGAGAATTCATACTAGGTGAAAACTTTATAAATGTGATGTTTGTGGATTTAAAACCTTATGAATGTGATGTTTGAAGTAGATCATTTACTCAGAACAGTAATCTTAAAGTTCACATGAGAATTCATACTGGATGAAAACTTTATAAATGTGATGTAGTAAATTATTTTCTTCTAGTAGTAATCCACAGAGCCTTAAAGTAATCTTAAAGTTTACATGAGAATTCATACTGGGTGAAAACTTTATAAATTAGGGTGACCCACCATAAATAAATATCTCCATATATCTCGACAATTACGCCACAATATTTATATATATGCCAAGCCTCAAATCAGTTTCACACAATTATAGTCACTAAATAAACGATCATGTTGTACTTAATAAGCTATGACCATTAATCATGTATAGATAATAGACTGAAAACTGGTTCCAAGAGTCGTCCATAACATGCAGACACTTTTGAGTAAAAAATAGGATACGTGCCCTTGTTTTGAAATTAGTCTCGCTTAACCAGTCTATCGACCATTCTACTTCTGATTGACAGGTCGGGATAATCAAGACTACTTTTTTACGAAACGTAACAGAAAGCTAGAACAAGAAATTGAATTTAGAAATAAGCACGTTACGTAGCTCAACAATCGTTTTAAGAAGCTTGTAAAAGTAAAATGAAACTACTGCTAGTATCATGTTCCTGTCTAACCCGAGTGATTCAGAGATATTATTTGTACTAAACCAAAAGATGCCGCTCTTAACGGTATAGCTAATGATAAAGCGATTTAAAAAATGAAACAAACGTAATTTCTAAATCTGCTGTAATAACCAAGAAGCTTAATTTAACTGCTATTCAAAATCGTCAACAATAAATTTTTTACGGCTGTAATAGTTGATAGATTTGAAGAGAATTGCACGTGCCATGGCTATTTATAGTATCATACTGTCAGAAAGTTGGTCTCGGCACGGCGAATGTGCACGCTTCAGTGGTAGTCTCGAACTATCAGCGGTGGACTGTATTTCTGTGAGTACATGGGTCACCCTACATACATGTGATGTTTGTAGTAAATCATTCTCTGATAGTAGTAATCTACAGAGCACTGTGAGAACTCTGGATTAAAAACCAGGAGCAGGACTTAAACCCCATTTCATTTCATTTTGGATTAAAAACCTTATGAATGTGATGTTTGAAGTAGATCATTTAAACAGACTAGTAATCTAAAAGTTCCCATGAAAATAATCTTTAAGTGGCATTTAGTGATTGGGGTACACAATAACAGAACACAATTTTTATGGGAAACAATCACTGGTTTTATTCTAATAGCACGACGTTTCGACAAGTATCCTCTTATCGTTATCGATAACGATAAGATGATACTTGTCGAAACCTCGTGCTATTAGAATAAAACCAGTGATTGTTTCCCATAAAAATTGTGTTCTGTTATTCCCATGAAATGAAATGAAATGAAATGTTGTTTAATGGCACGTCAGCTCCAACCGGGCTATATTGCGCCAAACATATGGTGAATTTAACGAGACAAATTAAAACAATATCACAGGAATGTATTCATATATGTAAATAAAAACAAATATCACAGAAAATATACTTAAAAATAAATATATCAATTCCTTTACATATATAAATATTTAAAAAACAATATATGATAAATATATACAATTAAAATTTTGAATAAAAGTTTGTCTCTTTTAAAAATGCTAGCAATTCATCATAAAGCTCCGGTTGAGCAAATAGCTGACGTACTGACTGGCAACGGTAATATTTAGATCTAATATGTTTGAGATGATTGCACTCAATCAAGATGTGTTTCACTGTCAAAGGAACATGACAGTGAACACATTGTGGTTGAGGCTCTCGCTTTAAGATGAAAATGTGTGTTAAAAAAGTATGACCAATGCGAGAGCGACACAAAACCACTTCATCTCTCCTGCTGGTTCTATAGGAGCTTGGCCAGTCTCCTAAGAGAGGCTTAATGTGATGAAGTTTGTTTGTGTCTGCAAGATCCCAAGACCGTTGCCAGCGGTCATATACAAATAATTTAATGGACGATTTAAAATCGGTGAAAGGTAAAAGAAATTGTGATATGGGAAGATCTAAAGCAGACTTGGCAGCTAAGTCTGCTTGATCATTCCCTTTAATATCAACATGACTGGGGAGCCAGCAAAGGACAGTGTCCTTGCTGTTAAACTCGTGTGATAGTAGCAGACGATAAATGTCTGCTACTAAAGGGTGTACAAGCTGCTTATTGTTTATTGCCTGTAAAGAGGACAAAGAATCAGTAAATATAATGTGTTTTAAGGATGAAGAGGATTTGATATACTCCAAAGCCTGAAAGATGGCCTGGAGTTCAGCAGTAAATATGGAAGCAGCAGGAGGAAGACGAACAGAAATGGTCTCAGATGGCGTGACAGTAGCCGATGCTACCCGATCGCCATCTTTGGAACCATCTGTATAAATTGGAGCATAATCACCATATTTAGACCTTTTCTCTCTGAAGAGAGATTGAAACACTGTGGAACTAGTATCTTTCTTTTTGTTTTTTGTAAGATCGAGATCGATCTTGGGGGGAGATATAGACCATGGTGGTGTCTCGAAGAAAGGGGTATTCGCAATACTGTCTTGACTGATACCAGCCTGAGACAAAAGGGGTTGAATGCGAATACCGAAGGATGGAATAACATTGGTTTTCAGTAAATATAGATGTTCATAATAGGGTCTAAATATGGTGTTAAATGAAATATGATGAGGCAGAGATGCAATTTTTGTAGCATACTGCAGTGCAAGTTTATCACGTCTGTCGTGCAATGAGGGCTCGTGCGCCTCGACGTATAAACTCTGCACTGGAGATGTTCGGAATGCTCCTAGACTGATTCTAAGTCCTTGGTTGTGAATGGTGTCAAGCTCTTTGAGATAAGACTCGCGGGCTGACCCATACACAATACACCCATAATCGAGTTTAGATCTTATTAATGCTCGATATAATCTGAGCAGGACCTTACGGTCTGCTCCCCAGTCAGTGTTTGATAAGACTCTCAATATGTTGAGGGCTTTCAGACATTTCTTTTTGAGGGTTTTGATGTGGGGGATAAATGATAATTTCTTATCAAATATCAAACCCAAGAATTTTGTTTCATCTACAACTGGAATGGGGCTTCCATCCAGTGTAAGTTCCGGATCATGATGTAAACCTCTTCGCTGACAAAAGTGCATACAAACAGTCTTGGATTTCGAAAATCGAAATCCATTGTCAGTTGCCCATCGTTGAATAGAATTCAAACAAAGCTGCAACTGACGTTCGATTGTCTGCATACTTGTCGATCCGTAACACATCTGAAAGTCGTCAACATAAAGAGAGCCGTCGACCCCGCGTTTAAGGCACGATGGTATGGTATTTATCTTAATGGAAAAAAGAGTGGGAGATAATATACTTCCCTGAGGGACTCCCATTTCCTGGGGAAATGGGTCAGAGAATATTGATCCCAAGCGTACCTTAAACGACCTATCTTCTAAGAAATTTTTAATGAAGATAGGTAAGCGACCCCGCAGACCGAGGTTATGCAGGTCGCGCATGATACCATATTTCCATGTGGTATCATAAGCTTTCTCCAGATCAAAAAATATAGCAACTAAATGTTGTTTCTGGATGAAAGCATCCCTGACAAACGTTTCAAATCGAACGAGATGATCAAGAGTGCTCCTTTGGGACCGAAATCCACATTGGAGGTCTGTAATGAGGTTGTTGGACTCAAGGTACCAAACAAGCCTTCGATTGATCAATCTCTCCATGGTTTTGCAAATGCAGCTAGTCAAAGCGATCGGACGATAATTGGTAGGATTCGTAGAATCTTTCCCCGGTTTAGGGATGGGAATTATTATGGCTTCACGCCATGAAGGGGGAAAATTCCCATCAACCCAAATCCGGTTATAAAGATCTAATAATATTAAAAGTGTAGAAAAAGGTAAATGTTTTAATATCTGGTAATGAATTTCATCTGGACCAGTTGCAGTATCCTTAGCCCTTTTAAGAGAATCACGGAGTTCAGCAATAGAAAACTTTTCATTATAACATTCATCATTACGGGACTTGAAATTAAGTCGCCTTTTCTCCTGTTGATGTTTAATGCCCCGAAAGGCATCCGAGGAGAAATTGGATGATGAATTGAATGAAATTGTACTGGCCAGAGAATTAGCAATATCAGGAAATGTTGTTAAGGTGGTATTGTCAACATTTAGATGGTTAACTGATAATGCACTACTTTTACCTTTAATTCTACGAATCCTATCCCATACCGATTTAGAAGTGGTGCGGGAATTGATCCTTGAGACATATCCTTGCCATGAAGATTTCTTTGCTTGGCGTATGGTTCTACGAGCCTTCGCCCGGACCATTTGGTATGCTGCAATATTCTCCATGGAAGGGTGATTCTGAAGGCGTCTTAAGATGCGATCACGCTCTCTAAGAGCGGATTTGCAATCGTTATTATACCATGGTTTATTGAAACGTTTGGGCTCAGTCGTGGTCTTCGGAATCGCCTGCTCAGCTACATCCTGAAGAATTGAAGTGAATAAGGCCATGGGCTCATCTGCATCTTCTAACTCTTTTGCATCAAAAGAGAAGAGACACAAAGATTCAAAAAGAGCCCAATCAGCCTTATGTAACTTCCACCTTTGCGGTCTTTCAACCGGAGAGGGACCATTATTATCTATCAAGATGGGAAAATGGTCACTACCACACAGATCTTCATTCACTCTCCATGTAAAATCCTGAAACAGGACCGGAGAGCAAATGGTTAGATCAAGAGAAGAAAAAGAAGCTGTGGCAGGATGTAGATAAGTAGGCGAGTCATCATTTAATAAACACAAATTATTAATGTTAATGAAGTCCGCTATTTGTTTACCTCTGTTATTATCATCTGGACTACCCCAGAGTGAATGATGACCATTTATTCCCATGAAAAGTCATACTGGATAAAAACTTTATGAATGTGATGTTTGTAGTAAATCATTCACACAATAGATGAATAGGGCTCTATTGTCCCAAACTTCACATCTATTTTGAGTTAGCTTTTCTGAAATGTGGGGTAACTCTGCAATAGAAGGTCATGTAGCACTGAATATCATCAAGGTTCATCATGTAAATCATTTACACAGACTAGTAAAAATGCAAGAGATGGATGGAGAAATCGTGGGGGTGGGGGGTATTGATAGGGCTATATTGTCCCAATGTTTCACATCTATTTTTAGTTAGGTTTTCGGAATAACGAGATAACTCAGCAACAAAAGGTCATGTATATGTAACGCTGAATATCAACATCACAACATTTCACGTAAATCTGTTTAAAACTCATTAAAAGACTCAGTGGTGTTGCGGACAGACAGGGGCAACGACAAAATGGGTGATAGAGGACAGACAGGTGCAATGACAAAATGATGTAGGCTAATGAATATTGACGGGTTTATATTTATAATCGCTTGCCAGTATTATTAAACCCGCACCCGATAACTTCATCCCTTGAACACTGTCGGTGTAGTGCATCACAAAATATTGCATGCAAAGAGGCGAGTCCACTCAACAGAAACTAGGTCATAAATGTTCTATTTTTATTTCAATAATTCGCTTGCACGTAGGGGTCTTTAGCAGTGAGAGGAAAGCAGAGCACCCAGGAAAAAAAGGTTGTACAGGCAGGGACCCTACTCCTTATACAAGCTATAAGCAGGGATTCGAACACGCTACTTGACTGAATGACAGAATTTTTTATCAAAAGTGCATGCTTTAACAATTTGCCCCCCCCACCCCCCTCTAGGGCTGTATCGCGATTATGGTATTTTCAGATCCAACTACGATATAATGTGGCCAAAAATCGTCGATATAGTGGTTTATCGAATATCGCCAAAAACTTCAAATATCGAAAAAAATTATCATAAAAATAGATAATAAATACACTATACAGCAGCAGAAATTAGCCGACGGCCATAAACTAAAACTAATGTTTTGAGAATCGTTAAATGTTGAAAACACTTGCGCAGTGTCCGCAGTCGTTTTTCACTGCATCGTGTATGCATTACTTTTACTTTGTTTTTAGTCGACAATAAATTGTCAGTTGTTACTGCATGTAAAGCTTAGGCCTACTAAACACCTGAAATTTCCCACGACCGCGGCTAATTTCCAGGCTATAAATAGGTTGTCATATTTTTAAAAAACGAATATTTTTAGAAAACTCTACGTTCATTTAGTATTTGTTAAACTGTTTGAACTTACAATTACAAGACTTGAAGAACGCATCTACTTACTTCCGCTGCATGTGATATTTGAGAATTTTCTTACACAAGGTCACAAGCATACGCTTTTTAAACATCAGCGGTTGTATTTAATTTAATTATATGTACAGGCATAAGTAATGTCTCCTGTTATTGTGTTAAAAAGCATTGAAACGTTTTTATCCAAAAAGGATGTTGTTTTGTTCATTTTAATAAATCTATATTATTTAAAAAGAAAAGTTTAATGTGTATGAATAAAGCAATTCTTACCCACAAGACTTACTCACACTGTTGTCAGCTTTAATGCATTTATATTTAATTTATTTAATAGCAAAGTGATATATTATTAAATATCCCGATATTTTACGATATCGTCCCTTTTTGCAATATCATACGGTCCTAGTGTAGTGCATCACAAAATATTTCGTGCAGAGAGGGCGAGTCCACTCAACACAAACTAGGTCATAAATGTTCTACTTGACTGAATGACAGAATTTTCTATCAAAAGTGCATGCTTTAACAATTGGCCCCTCCCCCCTCTTCTCTCAGACTTTAGAAACAGAAAGTGAAATGAAATTAAGAAATTGGATGCCAAGCCAAACGAAGTGGTCAATGATCACAATAATTGCTGATGGCGCTCTTCAACTGTTTGACAAGGATAGCTGTCTAGTTATGGGACAAAAAACCAAGGTCCTGTGTACTGTTTGGCGTGTATGTAAAAATACCCTTTACAGTTGCAATTCAAAATAACAGTATTTTGCTCAGCATCATTAGCTCAGTCGGAGTAGGACGTTAAATCCCATTTTATTTTATTTTTACTAAACGTACATTATGCAAGAGCTAAATCTGCCTATTGCAGGTCTTTCTTTAGGCCTTAAATGTTATCTAAATTATTAATTAGACATTAAACAACAGATCATAAACAACTCTTGATATTATCGATAGCCTGCGATGTTTATTGGATTAGGTTCTGATTTGCTGTTCGACTTCCATTCATAATTGGGGGATCACGTGGCGAAGTGGGTAAGGCGCTGGCTCGCTAGCATGGAGGTCGGGTGTTCGATCCCTGCATTGGCCGAGAAAGTTCATCTCGATTTTCCGGCGTGGTTTCCCCTTGTCAGTGATGCAGAAAGGAGGGTCTGATAAGGACAGCTGCCTAATCGTTCGGATGGGACGGAAAACCGAGGTCCCGTGTACACATTGGCGTGCACGTAAAAGATCCCTTGGCAGTTGGAATTCGATATAAGAGTAGGCCGTAGCGCCGCTGCCCGGGCAAAATTTCCCTCATAGCACACTGTATGGCATATGCCCATCTTCAATTTAGCCCAGGTTAGGTGCAGAAGAGTAGGACGTTAAACCCCATTTCATTTCATAATTAAATCATGAAATGGATAATCAAGACTTTATTTTTTTATCCTACCCACTTTAGTAATGATGATTGAGGATTGGCCGAAAATTCAATCTCTAAAATCATAGGGGATCAATTTAACTAAAATTTTCAGCAAATTCCCTTTACAGTATCTAGTTTTTAACTATTATAATGAGAACTACCAGCTCTTTATCTAATCTCCCATAATTTATCTCTAACTTGACCTGTTGTGACAACTTACTAATGATTTGTCAATACCTGTAAATTACATAAAATGTTATTACATAAAATGTTATGAAATCCCCAATCTGATTAAAAGGTAGATCCTATTTCGTTTTGTTTTTTTTATAGTTCAAAACTTTGTCTTACTTGTCTTTACTACACTAGGATCTGGTAGAGTTGTTATATAGCCCGCGTTCTAGTTGATTGATGTGAGGAATTAGCCAATCAAACGTTTGTGACAAAGTGATGTATACCTGAAGATGACGTTTAAACTCTCTATAACGTCTGTTAAGTCACGATCTTATTAAACATCTAGTTTATTCAATATGTTCTTTACAAGCTACACGTGATCCGTGTATAACACTAGACAGAACTTCAAGGAAAATATATTAGTGGTCAGTGCCTTGACCTAACAATGACTTCCAAATAAATATGCAGTGTAATTACAAACACCATAATTTGATAATAAACAATACCATATATGATTATCACTCCTGTCCATCTTCCCTAATTGTTAGACGCTATATAAGCAGGCATTTACTGACAGCAAGTCGGACTTGAAACAGAGCTCCCGTCGGTTTATATCTATTTCATGTTCTCAATAAATGGTTTATACATTATGCTGATATTCTGTTATCTGTAAGATATAGTGTTACATGACGCAACCTCATTGTACAACTGGTCAGATCTTCATGCAGTTTAGGCCATCAATAGTAGAAAAAATATGAAACGAAATATACGCCACCAGTGATGCCAATGCCTGAACCAATTGCCACATCGACACCTATCCAGACATAGACAGCACTAGCCTTAGCACCTACTTTTACACCAGCACCAATGCAAGAACCACCAGCACCATCAGCCACAACAGCACCAGTGATGCCAATGCCAACACCTATCCAGACAGCACTAGCCTTGGCACCTAGTTTTACACCAGCACCAAATGCTGTGGCACCAACAGCACCAATGCCAATACACACACCAACACCAATGCAGACACAAGCACCAACACACACACCAGCAGCCACAACAGCACCAGAGCCCACAACAGCACCAACCCCAGCACCAGCAGTAGTGTCAATCCAAGCACCAGTACCAACACCCACAACAGCACCAGAACCCATAACAGCACCCACGCCAATCCCATCTATGCTAATACCAACACCATTAGCGTTGCCGAACCCAGCACCCACGAATTTTGCAGCACCTATTGCACCAGTAGCCATACCAGCTCCCCAACCCATGGTACATGCATCTCTTGAACCAGAGTTCGACTTTTCGCTACTTACAGTCTTGCCCGATTTAGACGATTTGGCGCAAAACAACACTAATAATAATAATAGATGTGGATGTATCTCTGCCATACAGCAATCTCTGGACATAATAATGCTAAGATTAACAAAAATTGAAGAAAACCAAGATAAAATTATGAAAAAGTTGGAAAACAGATCAACACAAATCAGGCATGAGCCACTAGAAATTCAACAGCCATCATCATCTGCGTGTACAGATATCCAAGATGAATTTAGAATTTCGATTGCAGAACTAAAAACACATTCATTGAATATTGGCAATTTTGTCGTGAAAGTACCGGCTAGACTGTTTCCCGAATTCTTTACGGACAAGAATAAAAGACATTACTTTTCTTACTTTGGAGGGGGGTGGGGAAATTGCAGACAATGGAGCTCGATCACAAATGAAAGTCAATTTTTAAACGGTATGTGCTGTATTTTTATTCCGAGGTGTCGGATATGAAAGTTTGGAAGGATCGGATCGTCCGAGGATAAACGAGGCCCTAAGAAGGAAATGATGAAAATAGGGACGACGAATCAACAGGGTTCCCGCGGCTTCGTCAAACATTTTTTCAAGGATATTCAAGGATAAATATTCGTCAAATTCAAGGATTTTCAAGGACATTTTTTAGCCTAAAGTTACAATTTTTCATCTTAAAAATAACCAAAACATTACCAACTATCGTTATAATCTCATATTTAAAAGGAATTGAAGACATTTGAAACAAAATTAAGGATCTCAACTGAAATTCAAGGATATTTTCCTATTTCCGCGAAATTCAAGGATATTCAAGACCTTGAAAATGAAATTTTAAATTTAAGGATATTCAAGGATTTAAAAGGACCGCGGGAACCCTGATCAATAGTTAGCAGTGTATATATATGTATATATTTTTCATACACAAATACACCATAAAAATATATATAAAAAACATGTGGATAGGGCTCTATTGTCCCAAGCTTCACATCTATTTGAGTTAGCTTTTCTGAAATGCGGGGTAACTCTGCAATAGAAGGTCATGTAGCACTGAATATCAACAAGGTTCATCATGTAAATCATTTACACAGACTAGTAAAAATGCAAGAGATGGATGGAGAAATCGTGGGGGTGGGGGGTATTGATAGGACTATATTGTCCCAATGTTTCACATCTATTTTTAGTTAGGTTTTCGGAATAACGAGATAACTCAGCAACAAAAGGTCATGTATATGTAACGCTGAATATCAACATCACAACGTTTCACGTAAATCTGTTTAAAACTCATTAAAAGACTCAGTGGTGTTGCGGACAGACAGGGGCAACGACAAAATGGGTGATAGAGGACAGACAGGGGCAATGACAAAATGATGTAGGCTAATGAATATTGACAGGTTTATATTTATAATCGCTTGCCAGTATTATTAAACCCGCACCCGATAACTTCATCCCTTGAACACTGACGGTGTAGTGCATCACAAAATATTGCATGCAAAGAGGCGAGTCCACTCAACAGAAACTAGGTCATAAATGTTCTATTTTTATTCAATAATTAGCTTGCACGTAGGGGTCTTTAGCAGTGAGAGGAAAGCAGAGCACCCGGGGGAAAAAGGTTGGACAGGCGACCCTACTCCTTATACAAGCTATAAGCGGGGATTCGAACACGCTACTTGACTGAATGACAGAATTTTTTATCAAAAGTGCATGCTTTAACAATTTGCCCCCGCCCCCCCTCTAAGGCTGTACAATATAGTCATTTATCGCGATTAAGGTATTTTCAGATCCAACTACGATATAATGTGGCCAAAAATCGTCGATATAGTGGTTTATCGAATATCGCCAAAAACTTCAAATATCGAAAAAAATTATCATAAAAATAGATAATAAATACACTATACAGCAGCAGAAATTAGCCGACGGCAATAAACTAAAACTAATGTTTTGAGAATCGTTAAATGTTGAAAACACTTGCGCAGTGTCCGCAGTCGTTTTTCACTGCATCGTGTATGCATTACTTTTACTTGTTTTTAGTCGACAATAAATTGTCAGTTGTTACTGCATGTAAAGCTTAGGCCTACTAAACACCTGAAATTTCCCACGACCGCGGCTAATTTCCAGGCTATAAATAGGTTGTCATATTTTTAAAAAAACGAATATTTTTAGAAAACTCTACGATCATTTAGTATTTGTTAAACTGTTTGAACTTACAATTACAAGACTTGAAGAACGCATCTACTTACTTCTGCTGCATGTGATATTTGAGAATTTTCTTACACAAGGTCACAAGCATACGCTTTTTAAACATCAGCGGTTGTATTTAATTTAATTATATGTACAGGCATAAGTAATGTCTCCTGTTATTGTGTTAAAAAGCATTGAAACGTTTTTATCCAAAAAGGATGTTTTGTTCATTTTAATAAATCTATATTATTTAAAAAGAAAAGTTTAATGTGTATGAATAAAGCAATTCTTACCCACAAGACTTACTCACACTGTAGTCAGCTTTAATGCATTTATATTTAATTTATTTAATAGCAAAGTGATATATTATTAAATATCGCGATATTTTACGATATCGTCCCTTTTTGTAATATCATTCAGTCCTAGTGTAGTGCATCACAAAATATTTCATGCAGAGAGGGCGAGTCCACTCAACACAAACTAGGTCATAAATGTTCTACTTGACTGAATGACAGAATTTTCTATCAAAAGTGTATGCTTTAACAATTGGCCCCTCCCCCTCTTCTCTCAGACTTTAGAAACAGAAAGTGAAATGAAATTAAGAAATTGGATGCCAAGCCAAACGAAGTGGTCAATGATCAGAATAATTGCTGATGGCGCTCTTGCACTGTTTGACAAGGATAGCTGTCTAGTTATGGGACAAAAAACCAAGGTCCTGTGTACTGTTTGGCGTGTATGTAAAAGTACCCTTTACAGTTGCAATTCAAAATAACAGTATTTTGCTCAGCTTCATTAGCTCAGTCGGAGTAGGACGTTAAATCCCATTTTATTTTATTTATATTAACGTACATTATGCAAGAGCTAAATCTGCCTATTGCAGGTCTTTCTTTAGGCCTTAAATGTTATCTAAATTATTAATTAGACATTAATTAAATGTAACTTATCCAGATCATAAACAAGTCTCGATATCATCAATAGCCTGCAATGTTTATTGGATTAGGTTCTGATTTGCTGTTCGACTTCCATTCATAATTGGGGGATCACGTGGTGAAGTGGGTAAGGCGCTGGCTCGCTAGCCTGGAGGTCGGGTGTTCGTTTGGATGGGACGAAAAACCGAGGTCCCGTGTACACATTGGCGTGCACGTAAAAGATCCCTTGGCAGTTGGAATTCAATATAAGAGTAGGCCGTAGCGCCGCTGCCCGGGCAAAATTTCCCTCATAGCACACTGTATGGCGTATGCCCGTCTTCAATTTAGCTCAGGTTAGGTGCAGAAGAGTAGGACGTTAAACCCCATTTCATTTCATTTCATTTCCATTCATAATTAAATCATGAAATGGATAATCGAGACTTTATTTTTTATCCTACCGACTTTAGTATTGAGGATTGGCCGAAAATTCAATCGCTAAAATCATAGTGGATCAATTTAACTAAAATTTTCGGCAAATTCCCTTTACAGTATTTAGTTTTTAACTATTATAATGAGAACTACCAGCTCTTTATCTAATCTCCCATAATTTATCTCTAACTTGACCTGTTGTGACAACTTACTAATGATTTGTCAATACCTGTATATTATATAAAATGTTATAAAATCCCCAACCTGATTAAAACACAGATCCTATTTCGTTTTGGTTTTTTTATAGTTCAAAACTTTGTCTTACTTGTCTTTACTACACTAGGATCTGGTAGAGTTGTTATATAACCCGCGTTCTAGTTGATTGATGTGAGGAATTAGCCAATCAAACGTTTGTGACAAAGTGATGTATACCTGAAGATGACGTTTAAACTCTCTATAACGTCTGTTAAGTCACGATCTTATTAAACATCTAGTTTATTCAATATGTTCTTTACAAGCTACACGTGATCCGTGTATAACACTAGACAGAACTTCAAGGAAAATATATTAGTGGTCAGTGCCTTGACCTAACAATGACTTCCAAATAAATATGCAGTGTAATTACAAACACCATAATTTGATAATAAACAATACCATATATGATTATCACCCCTGTCCATCTTCCCTAATTGTTAGACGCTATATAAGCAGGCATTTACTGACAGCAAGTCGGACTTGAAATAGAGCTCCCGTCGGTTTATGTCTATTTAATGTTCTCAATAAATGGTTTATACATTATGCTGATATTCTGTTATCTGTAAGATATAGTGTTACATGACGCAACCTCATTGTACAACTGGTCAGATCTTCATGTAGTTTAGGCCATCAATAGTAGAAAAAATATGAAACGAAATATACGCCACCAGTGATGCCAATGCCTGAACCAATTGCCACATCGACACCTATCCAGACATAGACAGCACTAGCCTTGGCACCTACTTTTACACCAGCACCAATGCAAGAACCAGCAGCCACAACAGCACCATCAGCCACAACAGCACCAGTGATGCCAATGCCAACACCTATCCAGACAGCACTAGCCTTGGCACCTAGTTTTACACCAGCACCAAATGCTGTGGCACCAACACCAATGCACACACCAGCACCAACAGCCACAACAGCACCAGAGCCCACAACAGCACCCACGCCAATCCCAGCACTAGCAGTAGTGTCAATCCAAGCACCAGTACCAACACCCACAACAGCACCAGAACCCATAACAGCACCCACGCCAATCCCATCTATGCTAATACCAACACCATTAGCGTTGCCGAACCCAGCACCCACGAATTTTGCAGCACCTATTTGCACCAGTAGCCATACCAGCTCCCCAACCCATGGTACATGCATCTCTTGAACCAGAGTTCGACTTTTCGCTACTTACAGTCTTGCCCGATTTAGACGATTTGGCGCAAAACAACACTAATAATAATAATAGATGTGGATGTATCTCTGCCATACAGCAATCTCTGGACATAATAATGCTAAGATTAACAAAAATTGAAGAAAACCAAGATAAAATTATGAAAAAGTTGGAAAACAGATCATGAGCCACTAGAAATTCAACAGCCATCATCATCTGCGTGTACAGACGTCTCAGTTTTTGACGATATCCAAGATGAATTTAGAATTTCGATTGCAGAACTAAAAACACATTCATTGAATATTGGCAATTTTGTCGTGAAAGTACCGGCTAGACTGTTTCCGGAATTCTTTACGGACAAGAATAAAAGACATTACTTTTCTTACTTTGGAGGGGGGGTGGGAAATTGCAGACAATGGAGCTCGATCACAAATGAAAGTCAATTTGTAAACGGTATGTGCTGTATTTTTATTCCGAGGTGTCGGATATGAAAGTTTGGAAGGATCGGATCGTCCGAGGATAAACGAGGCCCTAAGAAGGAAATGATGAAAATAGGGACGACGAATCAACAGGGTTCCCGCGGCTTCGTCAAACATTTTTTCAAGGATAAATATTCGTCAAATTCAAGGATTTTCAAGGACATTTTTTAGCCTAAAGTTACAATTTTTCATCTTAAAAATAACCAAAACATTACCAACTATCGTTATAATCTCATATTTAAAAGGAATTGAAGACATTTGAAACAAAATTAAGGATCTCAACTGAAATTCAAGGATATTTTCCTATTTCCGCGAAATTCAAGGATATTCAAGACCTTGAAAATGAAATTTTAAATTTAAGGATATTCAAGGATTTTCAAGGACCGCGGGAACCCTGATCAATAGTTAGCAGTGTATATATATGTATATATTTTTCATACACAAATACACCATAAAAATATATATAAAAAACAATGAAAAACATATGGATAGGGCTCTATTGTCCCAAGCTTCACATCTATTTGAGTTAGCTTTTCTGAAATGCGGGGTAACTCTGCAATAGAAGGTCATGTAGCACTGAATATCAACAAGGTTCATCATGTAAATCATTTACACAGACTAGTAAAAATGCAAGAGATGGATGGAGAAATCATGGGGGTGGGGGGTATTGATAGGACTATATTGTCCCAATGTTTCACATCTATTTTTAGTTAGGTTTTCGGAATAACGAGATAACTCAGCAACAAAAGGTCATGTATATGTAACGCTGAATATCAACATCACAACATTTCACGTAAATCTGTTTAAAACTCATTAAAAGACTCAGTGGTGTTGCGGACAGACAGGGGCAACGACAAAATGGGTGATAGAGGACAGACAGGGGCAATGACAAAATGATGTAGGCTAATGAAATGAAATGAAATGTTGTTTAATGGCACGTCAGCTCCAACCGGGCTATATTGCGCCAAACATATGGTGAATCTAACGAGACAAATTAAAACAATATCACATAATTGAATTTATATATGTAAATAAAAACAAATATCACAGAAAATATATAATTAAAAATAAATATAACAAATCTTTTACATATATAAATATTTAAAACAATATACATGATTTAATATATACAATTAAAATTGAGAATAAAGGTTTGTCTCTTTTAAAAATGTTAGCACTTTATCATATAGCTCCGGTTGAGCAAATAGCTGACGTAATGACTGGCAACGGTAGTATTTAGATCTAATATACCTGAGATGTTTGCACTCAATCAAGATGTGACTCACTGTCAAAGGAACATGACAGTGAACACATTCCGGTTGAGGCTCTCGCTTCAAAATGAAAATATGAGTTAAAAAAGTATGACCAATTCGAGAGCGACACAAAATAACTTCATCTCTCCTGTTAGACCTGTAGGAGCTTGGCCATTCTCCAAGGAGAGGCTTTATGTGATGAAGTTTGTTTGTGCCTGCAAGATCCCAAGACCGTTGCCAGCGGTCATAAATAAAATTATTTATACAGGATTTAAAATCCGTGTATGGCGTTAAAAATTCGGATAAGGGAAGATCTAAGGCAGACGTAGGCTAATGAATATTGACGGGTTTATATTTATAATCGCTTGCCAGTATTATTAAACCCGCACCCGATAACTTCATCCCTTGAACACTGTCGGTGTAGTGCATCACAAAATATTGCATGCAAAGAGGCGAGTCCACTCAACAGAAACTAGGTCATAAATGTTCTATTTTTATTTCAATAATTCGCTTGCACGTAGGGGTCTTTAGCAGTGAGAGGAAAGCAGAGCACCCGGGGAAAAAAGGTTGGACAGGCGACCCTACTCCTTATACAAGCTATAAGCGGGGATTCGAACACGCTACTTGACTGAATGACAGAATGTTTTTATAAAAAGTGCATGCTTTAACAATTTGCCCCCCACCCCCCTCTAGGGCTGTACAATATAGTCATTTATCGCGATTATGGTATTTTCAGATCCAACTACGATATAATGTGGCCAAAAATCGTCGATATAGTGGTTTATCGAATATCGCCAAAATCTTCAAATATCGAAAAAAATTATCATAAAAATAGATAATAAATACACTATACAGCAGCAGAAATTAGCCGACGGCAATAAACTAAAACTAATGTTTTGAGAATCGTTAAATGTTGAAAACACTTGCGCAGTGTCCGCAGTCGTTTTTCATTGCATCGTGTATGCATTACTTTTACTTTGTTTTTAGTCGACAATAAATTATCAGTTGTGACTGCATGTAAAGCTTAGGCCTACTAAACACCTGAAATTTCCCACGACCGCGGCTAATTTCCAGGCTATAAATAGGTTGTCATATTTTTAAAAAACGAATATTTTTAGAAAACTCTACGATCATTTAGTATTTGTTAAACTGTTTGAACTTACAATTACAAGACTTGAAGAACGCATCTACTTACTTCCGCTGCATGTGATATTTGAGAATTTTCTTACACAAGGTCACAAGCATACGCTTTTTAAACATCAGCGGTTGTATTTAATTTAATTATATGTACAGGCATAAGTAATGTCTCCTGTTATTGTGTTAAAAAGCATTGAAACGTTTTTATCCAAAAAGGATGTTGTTTTGTTCATTTTAATAAATCTATATTATTTAAAAAGAAAAGTTTAATGTGTATGAATAAAGCAATTCTTACCCACAAGACTTACTCACACTGTAGTCAGCTTTAATGCATTTATATTTAATTTATTTAATAGCAAAGTGACATTATTATTAAATATCGCGATATTTTACGATATCGTCCCTTTTTGCAATATTATACAGTCCTAGTGTAGTGCATCACAAAATATTTCATGCAGAGAGGGCGAGTCCACTCAACACAAACTAGGTCATAACTGTTCTACTTGACTGAATGACAGAATTTTCTATCAAAAGTGCATGCTTTAACAATTGGCCCCTCCCCCCTCTTCTCTCAGACTTTAGAAACAGAAAGTGAAATGAAATTAAGAAATTGGATGCCAAGCCAAACGAAGTGGTCAATGATCACAATAATTGCTGATGGCGCTCTTCAACTGTTTGACAAGGATAGCTGTCTAGTTATGGGACAAAAAACCAAGGTCCTGTGTACTGTTTGGCGTGTATGTAAAAATACCCTTTACAGTTGCAATTCAAAATAACAGTATTTTGCTCAGCATCATTAGCTCAGTCGGAGTAGGATGTTAAATCCCATTTTATTTTATTTATGCTAAACATACATTATGCAAGAGCTAAATCTGCCTATTGCAGGTCTCTCAGTAGGCCTTAAATGTTATCTAAATTATTAATTAGACATTAATTAACTTATCCAGATCATAAACAACTCTTGATATCATCGATAGCCTGCGATGTTTATTGGATTAGGTTCTGATTTGCTGTTCGACTTCCATTCATAATTGGGGGATCACGTGGCGAAGTGGGTAAGGCGCTGGCTCGCTAGCATGGAGGTCGGGTGTTCGATCCCTGCATTGGCCGAGAAAGTTCATCTCGATTTTCCGGCTGGTTTCCCCTTGTCAGTGATACAGAAAGAAGGGGCTGACAAGGACAGCTGCCTTGTCGTTTGGATGGGACGAAAAACCGAGGTCCCGCGTACACATTGGCGTGCACGTAAAAGATCCCTTGGCAGTTGGAATTCGATATAAGAGTAGGCCGTAGCGCCGCTGCCCGGGCAAAATTTCCCTCATAGCACACTGTATGGCGTATGCCCGTCTTCAATTTAGCCCAGGTTAGGTGCAGAAGAGTAGGACGTTAAACCCCATTTCATTTCATTTCCATTCATAATTAAATCATGAAATGGATAATCGAGATTTTATTTTTTTATCCTACCCACTTTAGTAATGATGATTGAGGATTGGCCGAAAATTCAATCGCTAAAATCATAGGGGATCAATTAAACTAAAATTTTCAGCAAATTCCCTTTACAGTATCTAGTTTTTAACTATTATAATGAGAACTACCAGCTCTTTATCTAATCTCCCATAATTTATCTCTAACTTGACCTGTTGTGACAAAGAGAGAGAGAGAGAAATGGGGTTTAACGTCCACTCGACACAAACCAGGTCATTTCGGGACTAACATATAGTTTAATTTTATTTCAATAATTCGCTTGCGCGTAGGGGTCTTTAACAGTGGGAGGAAACCGGAGAAAACCCACGAGGTTGGACAGGCGACCCTACTCCTTGTCACGTACAACCGGGGATTCGAAACCACGCCAGTCGACTCAATGACAGACTTTATGACACAGCGCGCGCACGCTAACCATTCAGCCATCCAACCCCCCCTGTTGTGACAACTTACTAATGATTTGTCAATACCTGTATCTCTAACTTGACTAATGATTTGTCAATACCTGTATATTACATAAAATGTTATGGAATCCCCAATCTGATTAAAACGTAGATCCTATTTCGTTTTGTTTTTTATAATTCAAAACTTTGTCTTACTTGTCTTTACTACACTAGGATCTGGTAGAGTTGTTATATAGCCCGCGTTCTAGTTGATTGATGTGAGGAATTAGCCAATCAAACGGTCTGTTACAGCGAGTTCTTGGCGTTCTCTGCACAGAACTCTGGGTAAACCCCTAGAAACATCAACGCTGAATGATTAATCAATATCTGACGTCATAGGGTCAAAAGCCGCTTGGTTGACCCCTGACGGAACCTCATTGTAGTTTAAGCCATCGATAGTAGAAAAAATATGAAACGAAATATACAGCACCAGTATATTTTCACATCGACACCTATCTAGACACAGACAGCACTAGCCTTGGCACCTACTTTTACACCAGCACCAATGCAAGCACCAGCAGCCACAACAGCACCATCAGCCACAGCCACAACAGCACCAGTGATGCCAATGCCAACACCTATCCAGACAGCCCTAGCCTTGGCACCTAGTTTTACACCAACAGCACCAATGCTAATACACACACCAGCACCAATGCACACAACAGCACCAGAGCCCACAACTGCACCCACGCCGATCCCAGCACCAGTGCCCATCCAAGCACCAGTACCAACACCCACGACAGCACCAGAACCCATAACAGCACCCACGCCAATCCCATCTATGCTAATAGCAACACCATTAGCGTTGCCGAACCCAGCACCAACATCAGCACCCACGAATTTTGCAGCACCTATTGCACCAGTAGCCATACCAGCACCCCAACCCATGGTACCGACATCTCTTGAACCAGAATTTGACTTTTCGCTACTTACAGTCTTGCCCGATTTAGACGAGTTGGCGCAAAACAACACTAATAATAATAATAGATGTGGATGTAGCTCTGCCATACAGCAATCTCTGGACATAATAATGCTAAGATTAAAAAAAATTGAAGAAAACCAAGATAAAATTATGAAAAAGTTGGAAAACAGATCAACACAAATCAGGCATGAGCCACTAGAAATTCCCCAGCCATCATCATCTGCTTGTACAGACGTCTCAGTTTTTGACGATATCCAAGATTAATTTTAGAATTTCGATTGCAGAACTAAAAAAACTAAAAAAACATTCATTGAATATTGGCAATTTTGCCGTGAAAGTAACGGCTAGACCGTTTCCCGAATTGTTTACGGACGAGAATAAAAGACCTTACTTTGGAGGGGGGGAAATGCAGAAAAAGGAGCTCGATCACAAATGAAAGTCAATTTTTAAACGGTATGTACTGTATTTTTATCCCGAGGTGTCGGATATGAAAGTTTGGAAGGATCGGATCGTCCCGAGGATAAACTAGGCCCTAAGAAGGAAATGATAAAAATAGTGACGACGAATCAATAGTTAGCCGTGTATATATGTTACAGTTGATATGTATAATCAGGGAATATGTATAATCCCTGAAAATTTCAGTGATTATGTATATTCCCTGATTCACTCAGTGAGTATGTATATTCCCTGAAATTTTCAGGGATTATACATATTCCCTGATAAAAGTCAGCAAATATTATACATATTCCCTGAATGCTTATAAATGAGATACCAACACAGTTTACAGTTGTTTTCTTCATCTATTATATCTTAACAACATGTTACCACATACACAAATGCATGCATCAAACATATGCATGTATGAAACATAGTTTATAATAAATGTTCTTATTTTGATATAATTTTTAACATTATGTGATCAAAGAACTACCTTTAATCATGGCTATTTTAATACGTAGGTTTAGAGAAGGATGAGTTTTCTTACCAATTGGTGCATACCTGAAGTGATCTCTGTTTGTTATGATGACAATGTTTGCTACTAGTGTTTGTTTAGTGCTTTAAACAATCACTATTGTTAGTGTTTGTTTACATAACAATTAGTGTTGTTGTTAAACTGTTTCATTCTAGATTGTTTGTTTAAAGAAGGGGATTAATGCGTAAACAGGTGTTTTCTGCTTTCATAACATACCATTTACTGCTGCTTAATGAAGTTAATGATATAAAAGACATATCTGTGTGTGGATCCTCCAATTGACTTTTGGTTGTTGAAGCTAGAGGTCATAAGAAGTTCAGCTCGTGCATTGTGTGATTTTTCTCGAAGTACTCAGATCAACTTTGTGTTCTCTACTACTTGGGTGAACTATCACAGTGTTTTTTGGAATCAAGCAAGGATATACCGGCCTACGAGTGGCATTTATTACTGCTCTGGTAATTATACCTCTTTGTGGACCGAGATTGTTTTATATTTTATATTTTATACTTTTTAGGACTTGGCGTGGGTTTGGCAGCCAACTTGAATTTCTGAAAATCAAGTACAGGTTTTGAACGGACTTAGCCAGCTCGGACTAAGTTAGTGATCCTCATTACCTGGAAAGCTTTTATAATTCACTAAGGCTACCCCCCAATCAATTTCAAACGAGTGGGTACTCGTATTTTTATACTTTTATATTTTTTGTACGGAGACTGACTTGGCGTGGGTACGGCAGCCATCTTGAATATTTCACAAACGTTTTTCAGAATTTGTTCGAACTCAGCAGTCTCTGCCTGAGTTAGTGATCCTCACTTTCTGGAAATCGTTTGTGTTTCATTGCGGCGGTCCCCCCAATCTTTCTCAAGCGAGTGGGTACTCGTATTTTTATAATAAAATAAATTTATTTTTATACTTAGGTAGCACGTCGGTGGCGGTAGAGAAGTTTTTTGCTTCTCGCTTCTCAGGCAAGATTTTGGACGAGAGTCCTCCTATTTCTACATAGCGAGGATAACACGGTTCCCAACTCTCGCCTGACTTCTGTGTCTGACCTGCTTATTTATTTATTTATTTACTTATTATTTTGGTCGAACGATATCCGGCAGCTATGTCCAACACTAGCACCGGTATGGACGGGATAGAGGTCCTTGAAGGTGGGGTCCCCCCACCAGTCTCGCCTCTCAAGCGCTCCTTTACGGACGTCTTAAAAAGCACGCCACCCCCGGCTGCTTCTCGCCATCGGATCGTACCCGCTCCCTATCAACACCCGTTGATAGTTAAGCCCCTGGACGGGTCAACCTTCTTGGGTAAGAAGGCCGCCGTCCTCGGGAAAGAGATCAGAGATGTGTGGAAGGTGACCTGCCTCCCCACAATCACGATATTGAAAACCGGAGAGCTACGCTTGGCTTTCCGGGACGAAGTGGACCTGGAACGGGCCCGTTCCTATGACACCCTCACGGGCGTGAGAGTGTCAATTATATCACCACGCTTTCTCAGCTCTGAGAAATGCGTGGTCCACGGCATACCGGCAGAATACTCTGGCGAAGAAATCCTCGATGACCTGAAACTTCGTGGATATGAGGTCGAAGGGACCCATAGGTTCCAGGTCAAAGAGGGTTGTAAAAACTGTCAGAAACTGGGACACACGGAGCGGTTCTGTGCTTCTAAGGTCGCTTGTGGTCGCTGCGGGAAGGACCACAAAAGTTCCGTGTGCCCGGGGACGAAAATTAGGTGCAGGAATTGCCAGGGTGAGCACATGGCAAATTCTAGAGACTGCCCAAAAATCGTCCTGGCGAGCCGGGCTTTAAAAATCAAAGCAAAAGAGGGGATCGGCTACCGGGAAGCGGAGGTAAAGGTGAAAGGGCAGATCGAACTCGAGACGAAGAAGGCGGTAAAGCCACGAAGGCACAGGAAGAAAAGAGGGCAGCCCCCTGCCCCTAAAACGGCACCGCCTCCGGGATTAGCAGCCCCGGCCCCTGCCCTGACCCCCCGGTCTACCTGCCCTGAAAACAGGACAGGCTCCACTGGCTCCCCCGGTGACCGCCAAAGTACCCAAAGCAGTGGGAGGATTCGTTCCCCAGTTCAGAAACGAAAAAGGCTTTGTTATGTTCTGCACGGAACTGGTGTTGGCCACGAAAGGCAGCACCGACAATAACGACCTAGTTGCTGCCTTGTCTCAAACCATGGCAAAGTATGTTCAGAACCTTACCCAAGGCCCGAAAAAGTCCGTGAGTAGGAATACCCCACTCAAGCGCAAAATGACATCTGAGGATGAGGGCGACTCCGATTCGGCCAAATCCCCAGAAGTCAGCACACCCAGAAAGGCACTACGACACCGGAGTCGGAGTACGAACGATGTGGAGCGATCGGAACTGGCCCGAAAGCGGTTCCAAATGACGGTGACGTCATCCCCCAAGGGGGTCCTCCCATCAGGCAAACCTCAACATGTTGAGGCTATTGTCAATATTCAGGGTGAGGACTGCTAATTTAGACTGTTGGAGTCACCGAGTGTATCTCTCCGGCTCTTAAATGGAGGGTAAGCTTACGGTACTTCTACTTAATCTAAATGGCATTCGGGCCAGGGCGACCGAACTACGTCACCATCTTAGCAAAGGGTCCTATGACGTCTTGTGTTTACAAGAAACGAAACTAGGTCCGAATAACGGCGACGTTAAACTTCCTGGGTACACATGTCTAAGGTTAGATCGACCTGGCGTCACTAAAGGCGGAGAAGGTGGTCTAGCTATGTACATTAGAGTAGGTGTGGCTCACGAGGAGCTACCGCTCAATGTAACGGAGTTGGAAGGACAGGGCACAGTAATCCATATGGCAGACGGCTCTAGATTAGCAGTGATAAATATCTACTCACCCCCACAAAGGGTAGTAGATAACGGATTTCAGAACCTGTACGATCAAATCAAATACAATCGTATTTTGATTTGCGGGGATTTCAATGCGCACCACGCTCTGTGGGGCTCAACGAAAACTGATCGTAGAGGCAGTGTTCTGCACAGCTTTATCGAAGACAACGGACTCTGCGCCCTGAATGACGGCAGCCCAACCTACTTTAGACCGGGCTGCAACCCATCTCATCTAGACTTAACGTTGGCATCCTCACCCATTGCAAGTTACTGCGACTGGACCACAAGGTGTGACGAAACGCTTGGCAGTGATCATATGGCGATAACGATCACTCTTAGCAAGTCGCCTCATCGGGACGATACAGAGCGGAGACCAAGCTGGATAATGTCTAAGGCAAACTGGGGCAGCTTCAACCTACTCTGTCGTGAGTGGAGGGAAGAGAAACTGGTTACGGAGGATACTGAAAAGTATGCCACGAACGTAACCAGTGCTATAATAGAGGCAGCTACGGCCTCTATCCCCATGTCAAGCTCCAAATCTGTTAAGCCTCGAAAACCTTGGTGGTCCGATTCTTGTCAAGTCGCAGTACGGGAACGTCGTAGATGCCTTCGCAAGTGCCAACGCCACCTCTCTCCGGCCACCTGGTCCGCATACCTAAAGGCAAAGTATGCGGCAAGAGACGTCATAAAACAGTGTCAAACCCAACATTGGCACGCCTACTGCGAGTCCCTGAATGCAAATTCAAACTCTAAAGACGTGTGGCAGAAGATTAATGCTATGAATGGTAAGACTAGGACGGCTTGCCCACCGACTCTGTTACAAAGCAGAAGTGGCCCAGAACTGCGCAGAAAAGGCCGAACTTTTTGCTAAAACATTTGCTATGGCGAGTAGCAATAACAACCTTACGCCCGAATTTAGCAACAGGAAAAAAGACTTCGATCCGCAAAAAGAAAAGTTTAAGCCGAAAGGCGGAGAACTTGTTGGACGCTCAGATCTGAACGCCCCTTTTTCCCTGAGAGAATACGAGAAAGCGCTATCTTCTAAAAAAGACAGCGCCTCGGGGCCGGACGGGGTCAAGTACTCTATGCTAAAAAATCTGCCCGAAAATGCTTCGAAAATCGTCCTTGACCTCTTCAACCTCTCTTGGCGGAAAAGTGAGATACCCTGTCTGTGGCGTACGGCTACGGTGGTTGCAATCCCTAAGGTGGGAAAAAACCCAAAGGAAACGGAGTCTTATCGCCCGGTAAGCCTCACGTCTACGCTTGAAACCCTGGTGAACGATAGGTTAACATACTACCTAGAGAGTAACCAGCTGCTAGACAAGAACCAGAGCGGCTTCCGCCGAGGCCGCTCGACTTTCGATCACATTGCCAGACTCCAGCATGCCATGGTGACAGCCACGAGAGGCGGATCCTACCTCTGTGTCATCTTTGTTGATCTGTCAAAGGCCTTCGATCTTGTCTGGACAGAAGGACTGTTACACAAACTGTCCTTGGTAGGCGTGCATGGTAACATGTACAACTGGATCAAGACAGACAAATCAGGGTTACAATCGGCAAATACCTCAGTAAAGAGACCGGACTGGATAACGGAACTCCCCAGGGTTCCGTTATAAGCCCAACATTGTTCAATATTATGGTGAATGATATCAAAGAATATCTTGGAAAAGATATTTCGCTTGCTACGTTTGCGGACGATAGCACCCTGTGGACCAAGGGTAGTCTATATTCGCAGGTTCAGAAACGCATGCAAGGAGCCTTGGACGGATTCACCTCTTGGGCAAATGATTGGGGATTTCAGATCTCGTCACCGAAAACTGTAGGTATGCTAGTATGCAGGGATCCCGAGGTTTCCCGGATGTCCCTGCAGCTCAATGGTCAGTACATAGAATTCAAAGACGAAACCACGTTCCTTGGTGTAATCTTTGATAGGAAAGTGACATGGAGACCGCACATCAAATATGTGGTAACACGTACTCAGCGCATCCTGAACCTTATGAGGAAAATAACGGGACGTGAATGGGGAGCAAGCCGAGTTGCCCTCATGATGATCTACCGTTCTCTAATACGTCCTGTATTGGATTACGGCTGCATGGCCTTCTTAAATGCAAGACCCGTTACACTAAGCAAGTTGGACACCATACAATACAAAGCCATTTGTATTGCCACACGCTGTGGCTTAGGTGCCAAGCGCGAGTCGTTACTACAGGATGTCGGCGAACTCCCCCTGTCACTTCGAAGAAAGAAACTGACCCTGGGGCATTGGGCCAAACTAAGCCGATTGGGTGAAAGGTGTCCAGCCTTTAACGAAATCTCGAGGTTCAAAAGAGTCGGGGACCCCACCAAGAAGTCATACGGCCAGGCAGTCGGCGAAATGGTTAGGGACTACGGTCTCGATAAGCTCACCATTAATGGTATAGAGGATACGACCAGGGCCCCCTGGACCCTCCCAGTACCCCCGGTAGATACCACCCTCGTCCTGAGGGTAGACAAAGGGAATAACTCATTGGCGGCCAAGCATCTCTCTTTAGCTCATATTGAGGATAATTGGTCAAAATGGACTCACATTTACACGGACGGATCGCACAACCCCGAGAACGGTACGACGGGCTTCGGGATTTATATCCCGGGGAAAGAGTTACAGGTAGCAAATAGACTACCAAATATGTGCTCTGTGTTCACATCGGAAATGTATGCGATCAAAGAAGCCGTAGTGTGGATATCCAGCCAAAGAAATTCAAACTATGTTGTCCTCAGCGACTCACTGAGTAGTCTGGAATCCATAAGAAATCAGAGGTCGGACGCCCGTCCCGAACTGCTGACCCAGATCTACCTAGCGTACGAAAAGTCTCTGGCAAAGGGCAACCAGATAGTATTGACATGGGTCCCGTCGCATATCTACCTTAAGGGGAACGGGTCCCGTCGCATATCTACCTTAAGGGGAACGAAGAGGCGGACAGGCTCGCCTTAAAGGGGTCACAATTGGAGAAACCTAGCGTCGAGCTCCCTTATAGCATCAACGAATTTTTAAGCATGGTCGAGTTACGCGTCAGCTCTGAATGG